AAAAAATAGGTCAATCCTATTTTTCAATTATTATTATTTATTTATTAACCAATCCTATATAACATAAAATAAGTCTCATAGCTCATTTCTAACCTATAAAGTATACTATTAGCACTTTATTTTCACTATAAAAACTCTAAAAATGCTTTAAAAAAGAGTCCAAAATCAATAATAATAAAACATAGATCTTAAAATGAAATGCCAAAATAGTTCTTTTTTTAATTTTTTAATTAAAAAGACTGTCCATTTACATTATAGTCTTACTAAAACAAAAATCATAAACTTTATATTTTTTTAATCATAGTAGCACCTTTTTTCAAAATTGGACAAAAAAATAAAAATTAATTTTTTTGTTAACCATATTAGCATGTATGAATTTTTTCTTCTAAAATTACATTATCATCCGATGTGACGGAAAAAAATGATGATGACAAAAACTAAATACCACGTAAGATCTCAAGTGGCATATTTCACAATTATCGTCATAAAAAATATCCTTCATTGAATTGAATTTCATTCCAAAAACCTCTTCTTCTCTTTTCTGCTTTTTGATTTCAAATCTAAAAAAATTTTCAAATCCAATCGAATTGAATTTTATTGGAAAAAAAAACCCCAATTTGAATGAAGTGGTTGCCATTTGTATGTCGTAATTATTTGATAGCTAAGCTAGCGTATTGAGAGAAACGATTTTAGCCATCTTAGGCTTAGTAGTACATCATTAGTGTATATTGCCTTAATAGGCTTGTAATAATTTTTTTTCTTTTGTAAATGAAGATGATATACAGTCATTACATAGTATTCTTTAGTAAGCAGAGAAGTAGAATTTTTCATAGTTGTATAGGATTCATTCTTTTATACTAAGTGGCTAAGCCAATTTTCATAGAGTGAACATTATATTCATCATTCATTAGAGATAATTGGGTTTTACATTTTGCATAACTGACTTCTAACATATGCTTGGCGATTTTCCTAAGAGAATGTCTCTTGTTGAGGTAAGTTGCGTCTTTTCATGAGTTGACACGTAGAATGGTGTCTTTTATTTAATACTTGTCTCTTTTTTTCTTTTTTTTTTGTTCTGAGAAGTGAGCTAAACTTGGAGACGAATGGTTATACAGAAGCATGTAAATCTCCGTTAATAAGAGTCTTTTTACCTTATGAAATCCCGTGTAGTCATACTTATGGTGGATGAATCTCACATATCCTGATTAGCTGAGAAACACGTATTGAGTTAAGTTTTTCCAGATATACCAAGCTCCACAAAAGAAAGAGCCGAGGAGCTCTAAGTGAGAACTGGAGCATAGAGGAGAAAATAAAAACCCCAAACTTTTTTTTTACAAAGAAAGGGTTCAAACTTGATTTTTTTTTTTTTTTTTTAAATAACAATAGCATGATATCGATTGAATTATATTTCAACAACGACATAATGCCAAATTGATTTTACAACTGCTTGAAGCTATATAGCTGAACTTTCAAATTCTAATTATATATAGCTTGGCCTTCAATAACAAGTGGGAAGTTCGAGGATTGCCAATAGATGAAATTGTATGGCATCTAAAGGTAAAATGGTTTTTAGGTACAAATTACAATGATTGAGTCCAACACATCCAAAAGCAAGGATGGAAAAGGGCCATCGTACACTGCGTTGGAGAATGTTGAAGAATCGAGTCTCTAAAGAACTTGGGTTTTATCGAGTGTTAAACAATATTAAAAAAGCATAATTTCCACTTTGATAATAATAATAATAATCCCATTTGAGATTTCAAAACTATCATCATTCAATATTGCAAGTGGAGAAGCCTTCCTAAGCCACCATCTCCACAAAACTTTTTCTTTGACCCACCTAACCTCTCGGCCTATCATGTCTCCTTTTAACAGCTGCTAAACCTTTTATTACATGGCAGGTATTAGTTTATTTCAACTTGATCTTATACTTGACCGGGATAGCTGCAGCCCAAACAAAGTCTAGCTTCAAACTTTTCACTTCATTTTACAAACATTTCGCGTACTATTTCATGCACCTCCCTCTGATCCCGGCCCTCCTTTCTCTGCCCTTGTTTAATGGTAGCAAATTATTCCATACCATTCATTGAAACACAAAATCAATAATTTTGTGTTTGATTGGAAATGTTTCAAAACTTAGCGATAACCGGATCAATTCGAACATGAGGTTGTAGATATGCATCCCAACTTGAACCAGATTTTCGACCTATTTAATATATATTTGGCATTCTTTTTCTGTAATTAAATTTTATTCAATTATTTCACTGTAAGTTTTGTGGGTTTTAACTACCATCGTCTCCGTACTTTCTTAGTTTTTTTTTAATCGAAACTCTCTCTCTTTTGATCGATTAAATTTCTATATTTTATGCAATACCAGAATTTGATTCCTCTATTCTTTAGAATTATTCACGATCAACTATGCACATAGATTATATAGATATTTTGTCTACACAAGATATCCAAATTATAAATATAGTAAATTAGGGTTCTATCAAGGGATGAAGTTTAGAATTTGAGTTCCTTCGCAAATCACATTAGGATGGACTTTCTCACAATTATGATCTCGTTTTCTTAAAGCCTCTTAGCCATTTGTTCCAACACTCTAAAAATAAGCTATATTTTTATTATTTTTTTATTATATATAGGGGTTTTTTCTTTCATAAAATACAATATGTCTAAAATAATAACTTAACTATCAAAGTGATTTTTATTGTACATCCCTTAACACTAATAACGCCACTATTTTAGCTACGTGCTTGTAAGATTTCAAAATAACTTCAATACACATATTTTGAGGGAGTATGATAATCTCTCTCTCTCTCTCTCTCTCTCTCTCTCTAAATACTTATACAATATGTCTAAAATATTAATTTAACCATCAAAATGATTTTGTCACACACCCTCCTACACTAGTAACTCCGGTGTTCACACTCTATGCTCGCAGGATTTCAAAGGACACCATCATTATTTTTTCAACCTCCAAGATTGAATATCGAGTACAATAAATCTAAATTCTAAAATTTCACGCTTCTTCAGTGGTTTTTTTGTAGCAACTGATTAAAAAGCTAGATTTTTATTTTTATTTTTATTTATTTATTTATTTTTTACACACAATCTCTAAGCTTCTAATCCAAGCAATAATGGTGCTTCCTCCTCTTTTACCATGTCTAACTCTTAGATCTCCACACAAACACCAAATCTAGTGGTACAAACATATACTTCACCTTAATATGTATCACTCGAATTAAGTAATATCTTTTTTAATTCAAAAAACATGTCACTATAAAAATAACATATAGATCTGTCATAATCATCATCTCCCGATAAAGATGATAAGTAATTAAGTTTTTTCATATTGTTATTTTTTCTCTGCCATACTCTTTTAAAATAATATTAATTTGTATTATATGACATAAATACATACATCCATCCAAACACTTTCTTATAGAAGGTAGGAATTATTATTTTTTATCAATATTTTATTATTATGGTGGAAAAGGTGTTAGAAAAGTTGATGAAAGAAAGTAAGGCCGGCGAGTGGTCATGCTTTCGATTTACAACACACTCATGATATTAACACTCACTTGTCACATATTTTATTTATTTTTTCAAGAAGAATTAACTAACATGCGGATTAAATGAGATACCTAATCTCATTCATAGTCCACTACTCAAGACAAATTTGGTTACAAAAATTTTTTCACAATCGATGTATGAGTCAAAAACCTCACTAAAATTGGTCCACCAATGGCTATTTGAGCAAAATCAAAACACAAACTTGTACAACAAAAGCTTTCAAAAGAGTTTCAAATTGCACCCGTAGTCATATGCATATATGTAGCCCAACAAGCTGGGACAAGGTGTACAAACATTTACAAATTGAATGAGTCTCACCATCCAACCAAGAAATTAACATGTCCATCACATAAAATTGCTTTAGCTATTTGCTCATGTCTATAAAATATTTTATCCCCTTATATTTTTTTTATTCTTAAAACCAATTTAGATTTAGAGGGAAAATAATATAAAATGAGACTAAAAAAAATTAGGCAAGCGTGCTCATCACCATCCGAGACAAGTCTAGGTATATATGCCTCTTATCCAAAAAAAGCTAAGACAAACGTACTCATCATTCGAACAAACTGCTTTGAACAAGCGAGAATCAAGGGCATATTAAATAAAGAGAATCAAGGACATATTAAATAAAAAAATTGATAAAAAAAAAGAGAAGAAAAGAGGACATAAAAGAAAAGAATAGAAAACAAAACGACTAGACCACCATTAGAGAACCAACATACATTAGACAATCAACACCGCTTGGATAGAACAAAACCAATGCTACTAGTCAAAGCACCATTTTGTGATCAAACGATGTTGTATATGTAAGGAGAGAAGCTCAACCATGTTTGTCCACGTGCCATCATACAACCGACATTATGTCTCGTCTTTTTTTTTTTTTTTACTTCAGTCCTTCAATTTTTTGTAGCCTTTTAATTGTGATCTTAAATTTGATTTTAGCTTCCAAATCAATTTTAGGTTTCATCCATCATCACTCGTCAACCTCTACAATGAGATTTAGTTTCTATGCTTTTAAACTTTGCGGTTTCAAACAAATTAGTCTTTGATTTGCCAAATATGCTCTAATTTCATTCCTAATAATGAAAACACATATTCAATTCGATTGCTTGATTTTAGTCGGCTATCAACATTAACTCTTCATGCACCGGACGAGATGATTTTATGACCATCCAATCATATTTAACATCTCCAAGTATCAAATGACCTAAAAGAGAGTCAATTTACTCATATGGTATAAGATTTTTTGAAAGGCATGGACGATGGGTGATCTACTACTCATCAAGGATCCATTCTTGCTTAGAGATCTCACTCTTCTTTATGAAATCCACTGTCTAAAGAGTCCATACCTCTTTAGGAACTTCATCTTCACGTTTGGAATCCTCCTCTCCTTAGGGAGTATATCCCTCTTAAAGATTTTATCTCTACGTATGAGATCCTCCCCTAAGGAGTCCATGCTTATTCAAAAATTTTATCCCCCCGTCTAGAATTATGTTTTTTCTTAAGAAGTCCATTTTTTTGAGATTCTGTCCCTTGTTAGGGATCTTCTTTCCCCTAAAGAGTTCATCCTTCCTTAAAGATTCACCTTTAGAAATCCATTTGAGAGTTCTAAAGGAACAAAAGTACAAACAATGAATTCGGATCCATTCTAAAAGTTTTAGAGGAATAAAAGTGAAGATAACGAATCTAAATCCATTATGAGAGTTCTAGAGGAATAAAAGCATAGACATAGATACAAACCCAAAGTTTAAGGGTTTCAAATAAAAAAAAAGGGCAAACATAAGCAAACGTCTCCGGGGATCTCCAACTTTTACAAGGACATACAACCCTATTCTTCCAAAAACTCATGACAATATTCCTTCGAAACCATCAATTTTTTCAAGAGCATACAACTACATTCTCCCAAAGAACTTACGACTACATTTCTATAGAAATCTCTATCACTTTAGGCAAACGTTCTTCCTAGAACTATAACTATGATTTATCCAAAAACTCATGCTACCCCAAACAACTTGTCAAACAATATGGTTAGACAATTCAAATCTAGTGAGTTGCACATCCAAAGCCCCAATCTACCCAAATTACATCATACTAGGACATTAACTTATCTTAAATCGAGTGAGTCTTGTTTTAAGAGAGGAGGACAAACTGATAAGGTATAAAATTTAAGCTTCCCTACAAAACCCATCAAGTTGAGCGTTTTCTCAATCATGGGCTCTCACCGCTAAAGCCTCATACTGCTTAACTCAACACTCTAAATAAACATGCCATATTCTTATTATTCTCATTATTTACTACTATATATAATAGCCTTCTCCTTCATAAAACACAAGCAAAACAACTTCAATACACACATATTGTCAAAGAGTGTGCTCTCTCTTTCTCTCTCTCTCTCTAAATATCTCTGCGGCATGCTCACATTACAAACTTAATCATTAGTATGGCTTTGTCAGGCACCCTTCGGCATCATTGATTTTGGTGTTTGTGCTCTATGCTTACAGGATTTCAAAAGACACAACCACTATTTTTCTAATCTCATTAGGCAGATTGAATATCAAATACAATAAATATAGATGCTAAAACCTCATGCATCCTCATGGAGACTTCAAAAAAGGTTAAATTACCTAAAGTCTGTTAACCTCAATTAATTTTTAACATGACGTGGTAGTATATCTCTAACATATAGTCTAATTTTACGTTGAGATGTATCAACTCTCAAGTGGGTACTACCGAAAAAATGGGAGATTTAGCTGGTTTGCGGTTGCTATTTCCTACGCTGGCGCTAGAAAGGAAAATAAACGATGGGCCGGTCCAGACTTGATAAAAAAAAAAAAAAGACGTTAGATCTGGGGCTGCAGAAGAAACCTGTATTTCATACTCTACTGTTGGACCGTCCACGTTGGACTTGCCCACGACTACTCTTACGAGTCACTTGATGTTGGGCTGTTGACCGTTCTCATTTGACTCGTTCCATAAAAGCAATAGCCTAGGAATTTTGCAAGGAACTTAATCTAGTCTTACAATCTGTTGGCTCAAAAATTGGTCAAACTATGACCCCATATTATGCGCGCTCTCTCTCTCTCTCCCTCCCCCTGAGAATATATTCGAATCAGTGCATCAAGTCAAATTACAATTTTCAAGTGATTTCAATTTTCTAGTGTATTTAGAAAAAAATAAATTTTCAGATGTAAGTTCTAAAATTCAATGTGAACTTATGACGAGTTTTAATATTCTACGATAAAAAATAAAAAATAATATTTTTATGAATTTTTTAAATCTAGTATGGATAATTTGTTTTTTTACCGAATTAAAAAGATGAATTTAACTTTAATATATGAAAAGTAATTCAAGGATACTCCTGACACATAAAAAACAAAGAGAGAGAGAGAGAGAGCTGGAATAGATTTTAATCGAGGTTAATCAGTAGTCAACATCAATATTTGATCTTGGTTAGTTTGGTTATACCATTGACACACCGAGTGGGCAAGTCACGAATTTTCTTCGACAAAGATTACCCAAATTCTCAAATTGGGAGCTCCATCGTATCACAGTTGAAGACTACATGGTCCAATATTTTGGGTTCTCGAAGGATGAAAAGTATGTTTGAATCAGTCACGATATGATCAGGACAATAATTGTTCAAAGCTCTAAGTTAGACATCTTCAGAGTGAGAAATAACTTACGGTTCAATGTTCTAATTCTAGTTTTAGGCAATATTCAAAGCGACGAACTGCTATACAAATAACCTGCTACAACGACACGAAATACTAGAAAACTAGTCAACTACTGCTGTTTATTTGCTTTTGTTCTAGATAGCCTCCAAAACCCTACTATTTCCACTTCCAAATTAAAGCAATATATTAATGAGAATTGGCCAACCAATCAATTCTGCTTGGGTTGGTAGTTTTAATTCGCATGCTTTGTCCTCCCCTTAATTTCAACCTTAAATTTCATATACATGCTAGTTGATTAGCATTCTTGCACTTCCTTTCTCTGTTGATTTTGATTTAGAAGGTTTAATTTTGTTTTTTGAATGATGTTTTCTTTTAATCAATTAAATTGTGTTTTAGACTCTTAATTCAAAAGCTAACCAAGCTTGTTCAATGACACAAAATTAGGAGATCGATTGAAATTTGATTTTTTTTTATTGAAAAAAAGAAAAAGAAAAGAAAACCAACAACCATTGCCACAAAATTAATTTATTTGATTTTGAAAATTTTTTAAACAGTTTATTGGTTTTTAACATTTTTAAAAACAAAAAACAAAAACAATACCCAACATCTCTTAAACTTAATGTGCATCTAGACAGATTTAGTTACTTAGTAACAACACACGGACTTGGGATTCTCTCAGCAATTCAATGGAGTGAGCAAAAACCAAGGGACAAAAGAAGATGAACTGAAAAAACATGTTTTTCTTTTCTCAATATTTCTGGAATTATAAGTGATAGCCGAACAGACTGTATCCTCTCTGACTCCAAGTTTCACACACTCTTTATTTGTTACATTTGCCAAAGCGAATTCGTACGGCGTTCTTCAACTCGTAATTGACATTTAAGATACGAGAAGGAAAATCTTTGGAATGTATCCCAGCCTGGTCTAAAGCAAAAAACAGAATAAAGGCATTCGAGAATGTCTCCAACATATTGACCTGCTTTTTGGGAGCTTTCCAACTAACCAAAAACACTTTGTTGGCAAATTAAGGAACTTCAATAATTGCTTTGGTTGAAAAATAATAATAAAAAAGACAAACGAAGAAAACATAACAGTACAGGTAATGTTATTTCAAGGATAGGTGCATCCTCAGGTTAGTTGTCATAGATCGAAGTTCCTCCCATATTACATTTTAAGTAAATCATCTTATATTATGCATTCAAAAGAAGCCAATTTAAAAGTTAGAATTAAAAACTGATAGCACAAAATATATTCACTTATCAATTAAATCATGCATTCAATAAAAAATATTTCTACATTATACATGTTGAAAGGTCAACGCAAAGCCTACCATACAAAAAAATAAGAAGATAAACTGAAAAAATGACCACAACTTAAATAATGGAAATGTAACTGCCACCTACAAACTATTGTCGAATCTTCAAATCAGAGTCAGGCCAACTGCCACTAAGAAATGAGTCCAAGCCGGATTCCAATTTCATTATTTTTTTAATCTTAATTTGGATTACAAAGTGAGGTTTGGTTACCAAGAAGTGTTCCTTCAGCTTGATTGGTAACACCTCTTTACCATTTACAAGGATGATAGATATGGCCAACATAACCATAAAAAATCTTATACAGAGTAAATTCCATTCTTACTGTTGCGTTTTTTGATAATACAATGTAATTCTTTTTATTAAAAAAAACATTTAGATTGAAAAAAACATAAAATTATCTGAGTTTTATTGTATTGATATTAATAAAAATAGATTTCTTTTTTTCTCGATAATTAACAACTCGTGCTAATCCGACCATTAATAACCAACTGGTTTTTAGGGTCTATCTATGCCCAAAAAAAAAAAAAAAAAAACTGAAGGGATGAAGTATGATCAAAGTGTCAATATATGATTGGTTGCTCATCCAATCCTTAGCCCTAAGCTTTACTTATACGACTTTTTTGATTGACAAACAAGGGAGACAGAGACAGAGAAAAGACCTGGCTTGGCGGGTAAACTGCGGCTAAAACTGCTTTCTTTTATGCTTGTATATTATATTCCCTTTGATTGGTCTCTTTTTTGGTACAAAAGGACCAACGACTTCATCTTGCTTCTTCTTTTCTACTTGTACATTTCGTATCTTGCCAAGTATATGCAAGCTGCTCTTCATGGTATTCCTAGCCACCTCTCTCCAAATTTTCTTAGCCTGCCATAACTGACTTTGGAGCTCTCTCTAAGCTTTTTCTCCTCCATCAGGTTGGTTTTAAGGCTTTTAATGTTCCCATAATTGTTTCTGTTTCTTCTTTCTCTTTGTTGTTACCTTGTCAGAGTAAATGCAAAAGCAGTTTTGTTGTTCTTTTTAAGCATAATAGACTGACTTCATCAATCTTCTGAATACAGTTTCCTTAACGTTTATTTACTACAACCTGTTTCCTTTCCATTTTTTTTTTCCTTCTTTTTTTCCCCTTTGTACGGGTCTTCGACGATCTTCCTTTTGTTTATGGATGCCTGTTGAAGTTGAGGAAACTACATGCATGTATTATGTTGGGCTACTCTTCTCTTGTTGATCTTCCAGTTTTAGAATCGTTGTTGAACCTCACAGTAGAAATACTCCACGAGGTTCATTAGCTTTGCAAAGATGGGTTTTTGTTTATTGGAATCTTTTTTCTTAGAATAATTTGTGTGGAAAACTTGTTTCCAATATTATATATAATTAATTAATCTGGGGTCTGATGCTAGTTCTGCTCAAAGATAAAGATGTGAGAGGCTTTTGAGACATGGGTTTTAGTTGAACAGCAATTTCTCAACTTATGTACTTGGAGTTCGAACCTAAATATTCACTAAAATATATACTCATGGTCATCTCTCTGTGTGATTCACATGGTTATTAATGTTATTTCAGGATATCAAAGGTGTCTTTGTGGTTGAAATCAGTTGTGATTTGTGGGAGTACAGACAGCAGGAGAACTATCAGCTTATACCTTGACTGAGATATACATATATTTATATACATGGGGAGACAGTTGGAGCGCCAAGTCTCGGAAGTTGGATTTCAGGACTATCATCCAGGTTGCATGTGGGGAATACTTCATATTCTTGACTACCATTATTGGCAGAGTCCTAAAAAGTCACCTCTACGCAGAAAGCCTGGCAGAGGAAAACATGTTAGATGTAAGCCACCTTAATTTGCCTCATGCCCTCATCCTGTCTCCACTTTTTCACTTAATTTTTTTCATCTTGACGGAAGTCATATAGAGAGTATTTTTTCTAGGAACCTAAAATATTGAGATTTAGTTTCGATAGAGTTGATTGGTATGCATCATGGTACATAGAAGGAAAAAAATTTTGCTGTTTGGAGTTGGATATGATTTTTTCTTGAAGACTTGAAGAGCTTTGGAAATCGTTTTACGTAGAAAGCTTGATGTGATTAGCTCATTGTCAAGATGTACCCATACTTTATCTGCACACACACAGTAAACTGTTGTTTCTTGGTATTAAATGGCCCAATCCTGTTTTATCATTTAAACCTCTTCAGTTGGCTATGCTGGTCTGATATGTACTGGTTCTGCCTGATAAGTAGTATTGTCGGCACCAAACCGATACTACTAGATCCAATAAATGGCTCAATGACAGGGTGTGTCCAGAACCGATTCAATATAGTTTTTCTGACCACTAATGTTTGGAGGATCGAAATGGCATCATCAGATGGTTCAACTTTGGCATAGGAATAATATGTGTTCGTTCACCTAGCAAATGACATCTTGTTTTCCTCTTTTCTGATTATTAGGAATCAACATCCTTGACAACGTGGAATGTGCTTTTCATCCCCTTTTCTGCTCTGAGTAACCTTATTTCGTTGTTTTGCAGGCTGCCGAAATCCAAAAACAATTTCTTTTGATCATTACACTAATGAAGTAGAAGAATATTTAAGTGCTGAAGCAGTTCCCTTACTGGTAAGGCAACAGCACACATAAAATGCATGTTTATGGATGTATTTCATTTATACACATTAATATTGAGGAATAGATGTTATTTTCATCCTGAAAATTGCTTCTTTTGTGTGACGAGCTATGAAACTGACAATAACTTGGTAAAAAATTGGTCAGGATGAACATAAAACTATAAAGACTAGCTCAACCAACAGAATTGCCAGAAAAGCCCAGATAAAAGCTTTAATTGCTAAGGAGATATTTGCAAGAAGTCGGTCTCAGCAAACTGATCCAGTCCACCAGTTAGAACCTTCAGACAATTGCCTTGGTACAATAAATAGCGATTGGGCAAATCCAATCATAATCCTCCACAAAAGTGCTGATACTCCTGCCGCCAGATTGCAGGTTCCATCTGTCTCTACGACACCTGAAGAACTAGTTGCAAACAATAGTAATGCTGAGGCCTGCTCAAAACAAAACCAGCTTTCTACCGAGGATGCATTTTCCTTGGAGCACTGTCGTAACTCATTAAACCATACCCTTTCACGTGCTAAGCATCTCAACAGAGAAATTTCATGCCCTCAGTTTATGGAGAGTGTGGATGTCCTGGAGATACTGAAGGTAAATCAAAAGCTGTTGGTGGAAATCCTAAAGGATCCAGACGCTCAAAACACCCATGTCCAGAAGACTTCCAACGCAAAAGTAAGATTAAGGAGGTCAGGATCATTTCCTGCAGCTGACTGTTCACACATTAGATTTGTTAGGCCTAGTACAATTGAGCACAAGCAGAAGGAAATTTGGTCCTTTCCAAGGGGAGTGAAGTCACCCATCGGGACTCCAGCACCTACTGCAATCAAGTCTTTGGAAGATTTTTCTGAGAAGTCAATAGATTTAAAGGCTACCAATCATGGAGTCGCGTCTATTGCTCCAGAAACACAGTTTTCTTCTCTTGAATCATCTCAGGGATTACATAAACACAGGTGGCATCTTCCATTCATGAGTCGTTTTAAAGTTCTTCAGAAAAAAATAAAGTATGCACTCACAGAAAGGAAAAGGGAGACTAATCTTGTTTCAGTGAATGCAAGTCTCTATAGAGTTCCTTCTGGATGCAAGTTTTCCACCGATGAGGAAGAGATGTCTAAGAAGTTGAAGGAGATTACAATTAATCAAGATGGTATAGAAAATCCCACGAGCTTTCAGGAGATGAGTTATTTTGATAATGATCTCAGCAAAGGTCAAGTTCCTCACATAAGAAGAGGAACCTCTTTAAAGGAGTCATTGGATGGTTATACTCGATTGTTTGAGTACAGTTTCAGTAAAGAGTCCAAGTGGCACCAGTATCAATCTAAAAGCTTAAAATTGTCGAGCGAAGATAAAGTTCAACCCGGTGGTCTGAAATCCTTCAGAAGGAGACTCTCTCTGCCAGATATTGAGTCTATATATCACATTCGAAATGAGCCCTCAGGTGATGCCCTTAGTTCAAATACGTCAACTATGACAGGAATGGAATATGATGCAAATGCTAAAGAAGACGTTCATAATGACTTGAAGTCCATAAGCATTCCTGAAGTTGGAAAACAATTCAAAAGACTAGATACTGTGGGAGAGACTGAACTTCAGAGAAACATAGTAGAAAGAGTTGGCAGCATGGACAGTAATGAATGTTCAGGTGGCCTAATGGTAAGTAACAGCGAAGGAAGTTCTATGACAATTGAACTAAATCAGGATACAATGGAACCTGAAAGGTGTGAGCATTGCCCTCAGAGCAATCAGGGGATTTGTTCGGCAAACACCTCCATTAGAGAGCACGAAGAACAAAGTCCAATTTCAGTTCCTGAGACTCATTTTCGAGATGATATAACTTGCCGAACAGAGTTCCCAACATCAGAAGGTATGGTACACTATCTCCTTTCAAGGTTTACAATTTTCTTTTCCTTCTTTTTTCTTTTTTCTTTCTGGGGATATTTGTTGAACCGATACCATATATTATTGGCTTTGCAAGATATATGAACAGTTTGGATTGCATAGATTTAGTGAACGAACATTCTATGGACTTGCTGATTTGACCACTCTTGTTACTCAAGTTATTTTGCTGCAAAAACCATCTAATAAGTCAAATGTGACAGACTTATATAAAAGCATTCTATAATGGGACAACTTGATCTCAAAAAAATGCCCATCAAAACCTCTCCCCAAAAATGTACACTATTCTTCTGTCAGTATGATTGTATTGGTAGTTAATTGGTTTCCCTAAATTGCGTCAGGTCCAGAGCGGGATCCTAAGCACATGTTTGTTGATGAACCAGATTCTTCTGTCACTTTACAAGATAGGTCAAGCGGAGATTCCTTAGAAGGAACTCGCAGCACTACCAGCCTTGAGAATGCAGAAAATGCAAGTACAATGGTTGGTGCTGAATTCCTTAATTTTGAATTGAATAGGCAAGAAGATGATGCTGATTTCAATTATGTGAGAGATGTCCTTGAGGTTTCCGGTTTCACTGGGCCACAGTTCCTTGAAACATGGTATTCATTAGAGCAGCCATTGAGTCCAACATTGTTTAAAGCTTTAGAAGCTTATTTGCACAAAGGATTTGAATCTTCTTCAGAGGATGTTGCCTACAATTGCGATCACCTACTTCTGTTTGATTTGATTAACGAGGAACTGCTTGAGATATATGAGAGCTCATTAGCCTACTTCCCGAGGCCCTTCTCCTTCACTCAGCAAGTCCGTCCATTGCCCAGGGGAAATCATGTTATCGAGGAAGTCTGGAAAAGAATTAGCTGTTACAGGAGGTCAACGTCAGAAATGGACCAGTCAGTAGAAGATATAGTAGCTCGAGACTTGGAGAAAGGTGATGGCTGGATGAAGCTTCAACTGGATGCTGAGGATGTAGCACTAGACCTGGAAGATTTGATTTTCGATGAACTTGTAGATGAAGTTATATGTTCATATTTAGACAGTTGAGGCCAGATGAATCAGCTTTGTCAAGGAGTCGTTCTGCTTCATGATTTCTTGATTGCCAGAAGAGAATAATTAACGACTAGGAATTTTATTACAAATCAAGGATGTTCTTGCATGCTTCTTTTGGCGATTCGACAAACAAAATGACCAAAGTTTAGAGAACACGTAGTGATCATAATATTTAGATGAACATCTCCAAGTAGGTAATGTAACTAGAGGCCTGTATAGTTGGTGCAATTCTTTGGAATTGAGCTTGTGTTGCATGCACTCTGAATTTTGCATAGATTATAAATGCTTTTCTCGACCATGACATGCTACTCTAGTTGTGGGAGTCTAGCTCTAAAAAGTTTCCATGTTTGGGGAGCTGAGGAACAACTTGATTTATATAGATTGTTTCTATTGTACTATACTAACGTGGAGGAGCGTTCTTAAAATTGTATAAAAAAGAATTTATTCCCTCAATTGATGTGAAAACTGGTTCAATAATAACTTTGATTATGGAATAAAAAATAAAAAGATTAAAGATTAAAAAAAAATAGACCATAAAACTAATCTTGGACAATCAATAAATTGTATATATACATGTAGGCTTGAATTTGCCTAGTATTTCCAACATCAAATCAAGATATTTAAAAGAGCATTAGGTGAAAAAATATTTCTCTAATGTCATAACATATTCAAATTATTACGCATTAAAAAAAGAAAATAGAGATAAAGTGGAATGGACGGAAGGACTAGATTCATGACGGAGTGAAAATAGAGGACTTAATAAATTAACCAAATTAAATGAAGAGGAATTGAGGAATTAGTAGTACATAAGATTATAGACCAAACCAATAAAATTATTACAAATAATTAAATTTAGTCAAATCACGTTGAGAATATAAACTTTTTTAATAGCATTGTTGTTAATAATAACTTATACTGCTAGATAATTAGAGTTGAAAGATCATGAGAAAATTTAATGAAAAAATAAATAAATAACAAACACAAAATAACATAAGAATTTAACGTAATCCGATAAGATTCTTAAAACAATAAATAAAGACAAATCAAAGTATTCACTGTAGGAAAATATGAATTCAAATACTCCAAAAATTGCTCGCTATCTCTCTTTTATATGTGTGTGTGTATATATATATATATATGTGTGTGTGTACGTGAAACTATAATTATAACTAATGAATAAAAAATAGGAAGAACCTTGGAAGGGACTGGAGGGTATATGAATGACTATTTCATAAAAAAATGCACCACTTCTTTAATTTTTTTGCCTGCATCATGCATACATATGATGAGTCCAGTATTTTTTTTAATTTTTTTTTTCCTAACAAATCTCTCCCTCCAATGGATCTAGGGACAGCTACAAACCAACTTCCTTTTTTAGGAGAAAACGATATAAAATTGGTCCAGTCTTTTCCGTCAAAACTCCAAAGGATAAGTTACATCTTCTAAACATGAAGAAAGTTCGAGCAATGTTGGAACTCGAGTATGTGAACAAGCTTTGTCATCATATCTGCTGAATTATTTGTTGTACTAATTTTCTTAACTTTGATAGATCCTTCATCTACAACATCTCGTATGAAGTGATACCTAATATCAATATTTTTTATTTTCTCATGATACATTTGATTTTTAGTCAAGTGCATCACACTTTGATAAACAACATATGAATTATGATGTAATCCTAAATCTTAACCAAATAATTGCATGAATTGAATTGACATAGCCAACAATACTTTAATCAGTGTAACTACTCTTCTCATACAGTAGGACAACATCTATGTCATCCTTTAGATAGCAAAGAATCAATTTTACTGTTTGTCAAAGCTCTTTTCTTGAATTTTCTATAAATCTGCTAACGACACTAGCTAACAACATGCAAAATATCTAAACGGGTACATCTTATAGCATATATAAGACTACCAATAGCACTAGCATATAAAACACGTGACATGTGCTCCTTCTCCTTCTCTGTCTGGGGTGACAATGCTACCGATAAGCAAAAATGAGCAGCAAATGGTGTATTAATTGACAGGCATGGAATTTTGAATGCCATCAAGCACTTTCTCAACATAATTTTCTAGGACATGCAAAATTTGTCGGCTTGATGATATTTGTGATTTTCATGTCCAAAATTTCCAAATTGCTTCTAAACTCAAAATTGAGTTAAGATTTGAATTTTTTTATTTATGGCATATCCTTAGCAGCAATTAGTATGTCATCAACACATAATAACAAATATATAAAAAAATAAAATTATCTAAACGATTTTTAAAATACACACAACTGCTATAATTACTTCTAGAATAATCATAATCAATCATAAATGAATCAAAATGCTTATTACCATTATCTCAGTGATTATTTCAAATCATATAATGATTTATTCAACAAGGAAATATAGTCTGCTTTTTTCTCAATGAAAAATCCCTTGGGCTGATGCATATAAATTTGTTTTTCGAGTTCACCATGAAGAAAAACAGTTTTGACATTGGGTTGTTCCAACTCTAAGTCAAATAAGGTAACTGTAACAAGTAACACGCAAATAGAATTGTGTTTTACTGTAAGTGAAAAAACTATAAAGAAGTCAATGCCTTCTCTTTTACTGTCGCCTTTAGCTACCAAATGTGTCTTGTACCTTGCATCCTTAATACCTGAAATTTTTCTTTTCTGTTGAAAGCCCATTTGTAGCCAACAATCTTTTGGTATTTAAGCAATTTGACTAACTTCCATGTCTGTTTCTTACGAAGAGACTCAATCTTTTTGGTCATAGCAACAGTCTATTGAGCATAATATTTACTTATGAAGGCATCACGATGCGTGGAAGGCTCTTCTTCTTCTTTAATAGTTTCTATCATAGACAAAACATAATCAATGATAACTACATAAGCACACTATACTGTTATATTTTGGTGCGTTCTCATGTTACACCTCTTCTTTTTTAGGTTATTCCATAGAAGTTTCAAGTATCTTTTTTGAAGGTTTAAATTCTAACTCTACGTGTTGTTTGTCACTTTGAAAATCACCTGTCTCAATAATTTTCTTTTGAGAATGAAGCATAAAATGTTCATAAAAAATGCCATCCTTATTGATAATAAATTTACAAGGTTTAGAATGGAGCCACCACAACCTATATCCTTTTAACTCTATTTGCATATCCAATAAATATGTATTTTTTTGCTCTTGGTTCCAACTTTTCTTCTCTCATATGAGCATAAGTTGGACTTCCAATTGTTCTTGGAGAAGAGTAATCTGCAGAAGAACTAGACCATACTTCTTCAAGTGTCTTACATTCAGTAGCAATTGAGGAAGTCCTTTTTACCAAGTAACAAGCAATATTGACTGCTTCGGCCTAAAATTTCTTAGGTAGCTAGACCTACATGAAAAAGCAGACAATGTGCTCTCTTTAAAAGAGTTTTATTCATACATTTTGAAACTCTATTTTACTATGAAGTATGTATGATTGTATGGTGTCTAACGATACCTTCATTTTTTTTGCAAAACTCGTCAAATTCTTCTAAACAAAATTCTAAATCATTATCAATCTGGAAATGCTTCATTTTTTTAAAGGCTTGTTTTTCAATTACTACCCTCCACTGCTTAAAATTAACAAACACATCATTTTTGTTCTTGAAGGTATAAATCCAAAATTTATGTGAGAAATCATTAATAAAAGTCAACAAATACCTAGAATTACCAAGAGAGGGAATTTGTGAAGGATCCCAAAAAATGGATATAATCCACTGCACCTTTGGTTCTGTGAATTGCAATAGAAAACTTGACATGATTTTGTTTACCAAACACACAGTTCTCTTAAAAATCAAGCTTACCTGTTTATGACTACAAAGCAAACATCGCTTACTTAATACTCTCATACCTCTCTTTCTCATATGTTATGCCACAACTGATTATTCTCTGAATCTAAGTAGGCTGACGAAGATATTGTTGTAGATCAGCTAAATACTGCATCAGCCTGCAAAAAATAATGATCATTCTTTTTTGTCTTTTGTCACTATTAGAGCACCTTTTGGAATTTTCAAAATTCCCACTTTCAATGGAAAACTTGCAACCATTAAAATCAAGAGCATCTAAAGAAATTAATTTTTTTCCTCATATTTAGAGCATGTCTAACATCAATAGAGTTTGCACAATACCATCATACATCTTGATTTGGATGGTTCTTATTCTGATCGCTCTGCAAGCTATATTATTTCCCATTAAGACTGCACCACTATTAATTGATTGATATGTGGAAAACTAGTCTTCACAGGGACATATATGATAAAAAGCACCATAATCAATAATCTACTTATTTACTAAGCTTAAGGCACAAAAAATATTTTCAGCATCTAAAGAACTATTCTCCACAAACAACATCAAAAGAATTTTAAGTGAGTTTGTCCTTTTTTTTTTTTTTTTTCTTTTTCTTAAGTTTTGGACAATTCCACTTAGTCTTCTCTTTTTTGACAATAATAGCACTCAATATTTTTATTTTGACCTAAAATTTGATCTACATCCGCTTCTATTTTCAGAATTCTTATGTTCACTCCTCCTCCTCCTCGCAATAAGGCCCTCGCCATTTTCATCAAAATTATTGCTAGGCAATTTTTTTTTTTTTTTTTTTTTTGTGGATTCTTGGGGATTTAAGAATAATTTAATATCTTTTATACTGATGGTGTTTCTTCATAAAGTATCGATGTAATGAAATGCTCACAAAAAAAGGTATAAAACACAATAAAATAATAGTTTGGTCTTCATCATCGATATTTCTCAATTGCATAATTACTCCGTTAAATTCATTCATGAGTTTTTTTTATAGATATAACTTGAAGAGTATAGAGATTCTGTTTTAGGTACAGGGAATTTATCAGATGCAAACTCTGAATTTTCGACCACAAATCCAAACTCTAAAACATGAACTCTCTCTCTCTCTCTCTCTCCCCGAAAAAAAAAAAAAAACAAAATGCAATTACAACTAATGAATAGCCAAGACTAAATATAAGTATTTTAAGGAATCTTGGAAGGAAATAGAAGGTACATAACTAGGTGAATCTGTCTGAATGGCTACTCCGTATAAAACTGCACCACCACTTCTATTTTGACGAGTCTAAAATCCACATTCTTCTTTTCCTAAGAAGCGCATTCATAATTATAAATCAGTCCGTGTAATAATTTACGGGACTAAACCAAAATAAAAAAAAAAGTATAGAGACCATTATAATAATAGTAGCACCATACACATTTTCATTACCGCCCGCCTCCCCACTCTCTTGCTCTCTGTACTGCAGGACACATTCTCCGGGCTGTGCTAACATCGTCCCTCTCAAAGTAACACCAAGTTATCATCTTTATTCTCTATGATTTCTCTTTTTATCTTATTTCTTGCTTTTATATTGTTTTCTATTCTTTTCGTGTCGTCGACATGGGTATCAAAGCTGTAGAAATCATACCAGGGATAGAGCACAAACTGTTTGTAAAAATTCCTGAGTGAAGAAAATAAAAATCTTCTATTCAATAAATTATTTTATTGGGCGTCAAAACCAAGCTGATTAAATTTGAAGTTGTTGGTCAGGGTTAAAAATATGATTAGTGTTGATAATTTTTTTACATTGTAGGGTTAGTAATGACATTAGAGTCTTACTTAAACTTGTTGTAAGTATGGTTCCTTGCTATTTGTTAAATCAACATTTGTTTTTAATTTCAGTAGTTTCTTAAAGTTTTAATTCTCATTTGTTGTTGGATTTTCAAATTTGGTAGAGATTGAAGTTTTAACTGTATGATCTTGAGTTGCTAGTGATAGTTGCAATTTTGACATGTTTTATAGTAATTTTAAATTTGTTTTTAAGATTATTATTTGAATCATCGTAGTTCATGGACTTTAGTGCTATGGGATTTCTCTTCAAATGGAAATGCTTGCGCCTTTTGTTGTTTTTCGGTTTTAAGGAATCATAGAGCTCTTGTTGATTCTGATAGTATTGATGCATGATCAATGTTTAATATTCATCAAGTAGTGCTTTTGGATTTGCAGTCATTCTTTGCCACCAGTTTCAGCTCTGAGCCACGTCGCCATTTCTTCTGTAGGTTGCTGGCATGAGCAGAAAATTTAACACACTGAGGGCCTATTGAATATAAGGGAAGAGAGACAGATGTGGTTACGGTGCACAAAACCCTTTTATTTATTAGAATCCTTTAAAAAATCCTCAAAATCTCCATGGATATTATCATCGTTGTCAGCTTACTCAGACAGCCCTCACTCAAAAGCAAAGGCTTCCCCTTTACAGGTCTGCCATTCCACTGTTATCATTTCGTTTATTAGCATTTTACTCCCCAATACCTGGAAAACTCTTTGTATATAATCTTTTCACTTTTACTGCTTGTCCATCTTATTGATGGGATATTTCGGACTTTATGCAGGAAACCAGAATGAGAGACAGGTTCAAGCTAAATGCTAGAGGAGGTGATGGGGGCAGTGGTTGCTCCAGCTTTCGACGTAGCCGACATGACCGGCGTGGCAGCCCAGATGGTAGGTTTCCACTACAGTTCAGTGTCTCTAATCATTATTTAGCAAGAGGAGTTTGTTGTATCACTCTTACCTACCATGTTTTGTTTAGTAAAGTTGTGTTTGATCTTTTATTAAGATATATTTCATTCCTCCATCTGTCTGTGATTTCGAGTTTTCTTTTCATTATTTTATATCTATAAAATCTCACTCAACATGTCTTTTTTTTTTTTCCCCTTTCGTTTAATGACCACAATAAATAAATAGAGTGAAACTTAAGAAATGGATAGCAGTACTGTTTTGTTCATTTGTGGATTTAATTATGTAGGTGGAAATGGTGGTAGAGGAGGTGATGTAATTTTAGAATGTTCCTCTGCAGTTTGGGACTTCAGCAGCTTGCAACCTCACATTGTATTTAATCCTTTCATTCCAAATATTTTTAAACATATAACTCAGTCTTCTAGCATTAAGAGATCTGATTCCTGATCATTATATCCTGCAGATTGCAGCAAAAGGGGGTCATGGAGCCTCAAAGAATATGATAGGAACTCGGGGGGAAGATAAGGTGTTAACTCTACTCTTTGTTAACCTGCAAGATTTTTAATGATCTTTCTGTTGTTTGGCTTTTTATTTGAAAATGACACTGCAGTGGTTCATTAAAAAGAACATTTTTCTGGTAGATTGTCCAAGTACCTGTTGGCACCGTGATTCATCTCATAAAGGGTGAGCTTCCATCTATTGTTGAAAACTGTTCTACAAGAGATCTGGACCCCTGGGACATTCCAGGCACCCTTGACACTGATCAGTCGGATAAGTTTGTGAACCTCGCTGAAGAAGTTGCGCCGATGGATTGTACCAGTGGCTTATCATCTCATGCTGAAAGGACATTAAGCAGACAAGCCACTCAAGATGAGTCAACAAGTGTGGAAGATATACAATACAATGTTGCAGAATTAACAAAACAAGGTCAACGAATAATTGTTGCTCATGGTGGGGAGGGTGGAATGGGTAATGTTTCTTCTGTAAATAATTCAAAGAAGGCTAGGCTTAATAAGCCTGGCATCAGTAGGGGTAATGCGTTTGATCCTGAAACACCCAATGAGGATCAATCTGCCCTTAGTTCTGGTGTACCTGGTTCTGAAGCTCTTGTGGTATTAGAATTGAAGAGTATTGCTGATGTTGGATTTGTGGGGATGCCAAATGCTGGTAAAAGTACTCTTCTTGGAGCTATATCAAGGGCTAAACCTGCCGTGGGCCACTATGCCTTCACAACTCTGAGACCAAACTTAGGGAAAGTAAATTTTGAGGACTTCTCAATCACAGTGGCTGACATTCCTGGACTCATAAAGGGTGCTCATGAGAATCGTGGACTTGGACATGCTTTCCTGCGGCACATTGAACGCACTAAGGTTTTGGCTTATGTGGTTGACTTGGCTGCTGCACTGAATGGTAACAAAGGACTTCCACCATGGGAGCAGTTGAAAGATTTAGTGCTAGAGCTTGAGCACCACCAAAAGGGTCTGTCTGATCGACCAGCCTTAGTGGTGGCAAATAAAATTGACGAGGCCGGGGCTGAAGACGTTTATGAAGAATTGAAAGGAAGGGTGCAAGGTGTTCCTGTGTATCCAGTGTGTGCTGTCTTGGAGGAGGGGGTACCAGAGCTGAAAGTTGGTCTGAGGATGCTCGTGGATAGTAGAGAATCACAGAGACTGACTTCAGAAAACATTGATTGTTCTTGATAAGTTTGATGGAGATGCTGAATCTAAAGTTATCACAGGCTACTATAGAAAAATTTTGCCCGCCCTTAATAGCCGGCTATTTCTGATGGCGCTGGGGGCATCTTCAAAAGTGCTATTTTTTTTTTGGCATGTATAGACTGCTGGTAATTGAAGGTTCTGCTGGAACGAGTTTGCTTCTCTTTTTATCATTTATCAGTTGAAACTTGATTTCTGTAATTGTATCAAGCCCCTGTCAAGTTTATGTGCCTAATCAACACTCTCTTCATATCTAAATCAGATCCAATGATACAAATACTACCTCCTGGCTACTTCCGAGATTTCTACATGACATATACTTTATCTATGACAGCCGACATATATTTCCATATTTTTATTAGCGCAGAACGAAGTTCCACTCGTGTTGCTTGCAGCTGTAAAGTTTAGTTATTGCTTTCAACTGAGAAGGCAGCAGAATGCACCGCGACAGATTTTCTTGTTCTGTATGATGGTTTCTGTCATTGGATGTGATCCTTTGACTTCAATTATTCATCAATTTTTCTCTGCTTTCAGTTTTTGTTGAGTTTCCAATATCCTTGGTTTCTGTTGCTACAATCGTATGATGAGCTAGTAACAGACAGTTTGCTGTGAGAGCCGCCTGGCCTATCTGAATAAAAGGAAGCTCCATTCCAGAAAGCTCGCCATGTGAGCTAGCAACAGACAGTCCTCGTCCCAAGGTCATGGCAGAAGCTCCTAAATCATTTTTGCTAGTATGTACTTTACTTTGAGTTTTTAGGGGTAATTGATAAAGCATTTTTGCTCGTATGTAATTTTTCCTACAGTTTTTAGGAGTTCAGTCCCGACATCAGATAGGATGTTCCATTCATGCATGAAACAGGGTATAGATTGACAGTTGGTACAGCAAATGTTTGTGCACACAGAGTTGAAGGTGCTCTTAACATGTCTTGACGCTTAAACTTCCCTTGTCAGATCATTTGTAGCTAGTTTCTCTTAAAGATTTAAATGGCAGAAAAATGAATACCCAATATAAGCGTGGTGGCAACTGTGGGACTTGCCATGAACTTTGTTTTTGTGCTGTCCATACAGGGCCAGTATTGCAAAAAATGAAATGCCAACAGAGATTGATCATCAGTAGTGGATGTCATCCTCCGTCTCTAGTCTATATGATTGTGCTTCTCCTCTATCTTATGCACATGCACGCATTTCAGGTCATGAATACACTATTATGAACACGGTCTCTAGTCTACTACTCTATCATCCTTAATTTTCTCCTCTATCTTATCTTATATAATACTGATCAATTTAAACTCTTTATTATTTTTATAACTATTATAATTTAATGAAATTATTTTTTAATCATTATTTATATTTTTATACAAAATCAGATATTAAAAAATTTTAATTGTATTCTGATTCCTTATTAGTACTCCAAACACAATATTGAAATACAAATACCATTCCGATTCCTTAATTTTCATTTCGATTTCTACATTCTCATTCTCATCACTTTATTCCCGATTATCAAACATCATCTTAATATTTCAAAAAGCAACAGTAAAATGTATAGGAATAAGCAAAAGTTAGCTTTAAAAAATATATTATGCAAAAGGGAGGAACAAATCAGACCTTTTTTGAAGAGAAAGAACGGTAGACAAAAATTGGAGTTTGAAGAGAATAATTCGCTGACAAAAGCCAACTCCACTATCGAAGGATACAGGGCATTCAAGCCCCACATCACACTAACGATGGGAATCATTGCCTCTTTATCTATCGTATCATGCCTGCCATAGGCTTGAGAAACTCAGTGCCCGAAAGCATCTACAAGTCCTTGATTGCACCAAAAAGAAAGCTGTTCTTTTCCTATTTACATGATGAGCAAAAGTCAAGTTAATTGCTACAGGAAAAAATGCAGCACTATCACTGTGTTCTAAGAAATGAAGACGAGATACTGTAAGAAAACATCAAAACCAGTACTCATGAGAAAAACCAGCCTTATTGCAACAAAAGTGAAAAGGGATCTGATAGTGGATTTTCGGACCAGAACTCCTCTTATACTTCAATGCAGTAAATGTGCTGTAGCTTGTACAAAATATTTGGACCAAATTGAACTAATTTTTTTTTCGTACAAAGATTCAACCAGCAACAACTGTAATGATCAAAATAAATTTTCTTTCAACGAATTTAGTCTCTTACCCTTGTGATGATCATATTCAATCACGCCAGGCTTTTGAATCAGTGAGAAAAAAATATCACTAAGGAAACAAGTTGGCTTTTTTTTTTTTTTCATTTCTTGTATGACCTTCGTTCATTGACCGAATTACAGATTTTTTGCAACACCAATATGATAAACGGACACTAATTATATAAAGCTAAAGTATCATGTTAATTAAACAAAGAAATTAATGATCCACAATTAAGAATATTTATTGAAGTCTAAAGGGAATATGTCAAATGTTTCAAGATGTTGAATAAATCTCTCTCCAAAGCAGCATGCATCATGCTTTCTTGTGTTAAAGCTAAACTAACCCATCATTTTCATCTGGACCGACCAAGGTTTCGATATTCCCATGGTGGATGGATAAGATTTTTTTTTCGTTGCTCATTTTTAAATCTCAATCACTTGATTTTTCCCACGAAGAGAAAAATGACTAAAATTATATATTATTGAGAAACAGCCCTCTCGCCATGATTAGACCCTTCACTCCATGGTGGGTCAGTAAGACTATTCTCTTGCTTGAGTTTCCTTAGATTTAGCATAGTATTCGGACATATTATTTATCTCATTAGGAAAAATATTCTTCTACGCTGGCCATCACATCTCAAGAAAAATTTCTAATTTGCAGAAAAATACGGTTTTATTTGTTATAATTGAAAAAAAAAAAAGAATTTGCTATCAGTTTAATGAAATCATAACAATCCAATACAAAGTTAATATAATTTCTTGATAAAAGAAAAAAGTTAATATAGTTTGCTATCAGTTTTTATAAACTCGTTACAAACAAAAAAAAAAAACAAAAAAATAAATGTTAATGATGTCAAATGTAAAGTTTAATATAATAAAATAAACTATATATTATAATTAAAATTTTCATATTAAAATTCATAAATTCAAACTAATAGCTAATGATGTTTTATTTTATAATTAAAATAACACTATTTTCTATATATTTCTTTTTTAAATTAATTTTGATTATATGAATTTTAATATGATTGAATGATAAATATTTGATTGAAATTTTTTTAATATTTTAAGAAGTCAGTTGGAATATAAAAAAGGTCCTCTCGTTGGTTTAATAGATAGACATGAAGAATTAAAATTTTGATGTAAGTCTAAGGAAGTAATTGATACAAATGAAATCTGATGGCAGATATTGAGAAACACCTCAAACCTCAAGGGATCCAACAAATTAAAATCTAGCGTATATTTAACCAGTATGATCAATGACACATTTTAGGCCGAAATCAACTGTATTTATAACCTGATTTGGGTTTAAGAAAATAAAACGCCTTTTTAACCATTAAATCCATTTTCATTAGTTTTAAAATTCAATAATAATATAACTTTGATGACCAGAAATTAACTACAACCAATTTTTAAAGGTTTCTAAACTTTGATTAATTAATGGGAAACTTAGTTTGCAATTCCGCTGAAAAGGATAGGTTTAAAACAAAAGAGAGGACAATGCACTTATATCCTAATACAGTAAGATTTAACCACGTGTGTGGTGGATATTAGCCACCTTTTGACTGAACAACGCTATAAATAGCAGCTAAGGGCAGAGCCTGATAGCTCATTCCGAGTTCTTAATTAGCTTGAGTGAATTCAGTTTCCAAGTAAAAGAAATCAAGCCTTTAATTTTATCCTACTTTCCCAGCAGAAAATGTCTTGCTGTGGAGGAAACTGTGGCTGCGGCTCTGGCTGCAAGTGCGGCAGTGGCTGCAATGGGTAATTCTTTCTATTCTTGGAAAAAAAATTTTATTTTTACTGATCCTCTGTCAATACTTACAGAGAATTGTTATGTTCTTTCAAGTAGAAGTAATTCTTCTTTGCGCTGATGAAATTTCAAATGGATCTGACACTCAGCTTTTCTGTTTTTGTGATATCCTATAAATTACTCTGTACGTACATGGCAGATGCGGTATGTACCCAGACTTGAGTTTCTCTGAGACCACCACAACTGAGACGATCATTGCAGGTGTTCCTCCAGTTAAGATGTACGTGTCAGTCACAGTACTGCGCTGTTGATATTATACAATATTACTTTCATGCATCAAATTTTTAGTATTTGAAAGGGATTAGGTGCTGATTACTAGCTACTGCTCCTGCAGGTTATATGAGAGGTCTGAGACGAGCTTTGGTGCTGAGAATGGCTGCAAATGTGGATCAAACTGCACCTGTGATCCATGCACCTGCAAATGAGAAAACGTAGCCGCATGGCTCCAACCAAGCAGTTATAATAAATAAAAAAAAAAGAAGTCTGGTCACTCCTTGTATGTCTAATATAGTGCTTGCTTGCTGTAAATAAACGTACAGGTAGCTAGCCATGGTTTCCTCAAATCCTTTCTGTAGGATTTCATTTGATGGCTACTAATCTGTACGTACGTGCCTAATTGTGTTTCCCAGCTGCTTCGTTGGTTTCAATGGAGTTCTCATGTATCTTCAATTGGAAACTTGAATTCTACTGCTGATTAAACTCCAATTAATGCTTGATTTCTGCTTTTACCTATCTATGGTTGTTAACTTATATCTTCTCTATCGATTCATTTCATAGTTTCATTTGGTTTGACACTGTTGAATTTGTCATTCCTAATGCGATGACGTACAATCTAATTAAAATGACGCGATTGCCAACGTTGATTGATTATAATGGATAATAAAAATGATGATGATGATGATGATTCTCTCCTCCCTCCAATCAGAAGAACATTAACCGCGTCTACGACCTTAGGCACTCTCTCTCCTACTTCGCATATGACAAAACATAGCTTTGCTAATTTGCTTGATTAGGAGTCTTTTGTTCCCTTGAAAACATGCTTGTCTACTAGTATGAGTTTTTAAAAGTTAATCAAGACATCATATATAGCATTTTCTATTTGGATGTTGACTAATCAATAAATCTGCAGTCCACATATATCAATTAACTGCTATAAAATAAAACATAAGAATCCATTTACAAAACCATATCTTCTTGCAACGATTGACTTTTGGCCCAAGTACTTATTGCATATGGATTAGTATAATACTTAATAAATACTAGAAAAAATTCATGGCTGCTTTACATCCTGCTGTTGAATCATCATCATAAAAATGGGTTTTGATTAGTGTTTGGTCCGGTCCATGTGAGTGGCATCCACCACACAAGTACATGCATGTAGAATTAAATGAATGATTGCGTTCACTTGTGTTGAAAGCTAAAGGATGATGCTGATACATGTGAAAAAACACAAATACATGCATGCACTTGTTGAAAATTGAAACAACTACTTGTTGCCAAAGACGAGAAAGGTGTTTTGCATCATGGTAAGAGATAGACTAAAAGTCAGCAATCTCATTAGTATATATAAGGGAAGCCTATGGATAATCAAAGTGTAGAGATAAGTGAGTTAAAAAAACACAAGAGCCTAGCAAAAATTAGAGAGTTTTTTTTTTTTTTTTTTAAGTGGATATTTTTTGTTGTTTCATTTATATTGCACAAAAAGATTGAGTTTATCAAGTCGGGTAAGTGGGCTAGTGTGTGTTCTAATTCCAACAAATAGGCAACTAATTGAATTTCTGCCATTTTAATTTATTGCATACCATTTAACACGGATTCCATGAATCTTGTTACTTGTCGTAAGTTTTGTCTAATAGTATCGTCTATAAATCAAATTTTCCAGCTGGTGAAAGGTTGCCCATAATGTGATTTGATTAAGTAATAAAGCTAAAGGTACAAGTTGGCATCAAAAGGGTCTCTGGGTCACGCACACAAACTTCTACTATATCTTCTGGTAGATGCTACTTCAGCACTTCTTTTGTAAAATGGTGCAGGAAGTGGCGTTTTTATATGGTTCTCGTCATCATAATTCGCACTCCACTTTCTGAGTTTAGCCGATTAGTCGATTATGACCTCCCTGCCTCTCTGGGCTTGCTCTGGCTACCACATTATTAATTTTTATTTATTTATTTATTTTGTGAACAAGACTAGAGAAATAATGTGATGAATGCAGATCATCCAACTAAATGGTAAAATAAATCTGCGTCATCAACCCTGAAAAGGTGATTAACAATTAAACTTGAACAAAATATGAAAGTGCACACATACGCTACAGTCAAAGATTCAAGAAAATGATGATTTCTTTGGTCATTGCTTGGTATTGGGATCAGCATTCATTAGTATTATCATATGTATAAACTGCACAGTTAATTGGATGGAGATATCTGTAATAAATTAATTACTGGATTAGTGTTTAAAAATTAAATAGAAAAGATTAAAGGTGGAGTTAATTATTACCTTCTTTTGAATGATCGTGAAAACTTGATAGTGATCGATGATTATTAGATAAAATTTGTTCCTTTTTATTCAAACCTTTAAGTTTTATACTTCTTGGCTTTGCTTCTAAATAGGAATGGAACTTCATATCTGTTGTAAAGATACTTCCAATTTTCAGCCTTGTGAGTTTTGCAATTAAGCACACTATGTACCAAGTTCATGAATTCTCCATAGGGATTTTCCAGATCCGACGACGAAAGAAAGGGAGGGAGGGAGCATACGATTTATTTTACTTCTGATTCCTTTTTAATTAATTAAAGTTTCTTTAAAATATATTACGTGGTATTATTTTAACAAATGCCATCATTCTATTGAGTTGGTCCACGTACTACTTAGTTGGAGGACTATATCTTCAGAATAATTTCTCGGGAATATATACTTTCGAAACCTGATTAAATTATAAATTAGTGTCTCTAGTCTTTTGAAAGGAATTAAATAGTTTTTTTTTTTTAGTTTTAACTACCAATTAATTAGTTTTAAATTTTTTAAAAAATCTATTTGTAATTTAATCATTTTATTTTTTTAATTTATTTTCTTTTTTATTTTAATTATTAGAAAAAAGGGAAAAATATGTGAAAATATAGAAAGATTGATGAAAAAAGAAGATATTTTTTGAAACAAAATAATAATAAATTAAACATGGTTTACATTAGTCAATTAATTAATTAATTACTTTTGAAATAAGAGGGGCTATTTAATTTATTTTACAAAACTACAAAAAAAAAAAAAAGTTTATAATTTACTCTCTAAACCTCTATTTCTATAGTTTATTGTCGTTGCTTTGGTTGGATTGAAGACAGTATGTCCATTATTTAGATCAACAGTCTGTATTCAAACTAAACTCAATTAGATTATTGTTAAAAAAAAAAAAATCAATTAGGTTGATTGAAAAAAAAAACACAAATGAATCTTCTTGATAAAAAATCTCACATTTATGTTTCTTTCAACTTTCCTATCCAAAATTTACCTAAGTCTTTTTATAAATAACAAGATTAACAAAGTTTAGTTTGAAATTTTATAAAAAAAAATTAAAAAAAAAAATTTTATGAAATTTTAAAACGGTAAAATAATTTGGACATAAAGTTTTTCACAATTAAAGAGAAAAAATATAATTTAGTAGTTGAACATGTCATCCAGTTAACGGACAAATCGCCGAAGTATTTGATTGGTAGTTTTGAAAATAATTAAAATTTATGTACTTATTGAGAAAAAAAGAATAAAATTATAGCTTGATATTTTGAGGATAACAAACACATAATCAATTAACGAGAAAAAATTAACTGAAATACTTGATTAGTAATTTTTTAAAAACCAATATAATCAAATAAAATAAAATAATGTACTCAATTGAGAAAAAAATAAAACTTTAGCACAATTACTCCTCTTCGAACTAATGCTACAATTTACTTAATCAAATTTATCTATTAATATAAGAGAATTTCTCTAATATACCAATTTGTTTAATATTAAACTTTCGTTAATAAAAACATTGAGATTAAATAATAATCTTTTTAATCATGCAATATGTGTACTTTAACTTTGTTGAATTACGATTTTTCAGAAACTTTTAGTTTTCTAAACATTAAAATAACTTATATATTAAGTTATAAAGAAAAATGAATTTTGAGGTTTCACTTGTAAATGGAGTTGCTATATTGGGTTTAAGTCGAAACAATTCGCAAAAGATAAATTAGTTAATGCGATAAATAAAAGAGAAGAAAATGATTCACTAAAAGTATGGGTGCGTTAATAAACGATGAAACATCAGTAGAGATTGATTTAAAACATTTTGCGGGAAATTTTGATAAGACACCTAAACTTCCTGGGTGAAAATGAAATTGACCTTAAATTCAAATCACCTCCTCCTCCTCCACCGCTGAAAACCCGTTCACAATTTCTGTCTTCTTCGCTGCATATCCAGCACAAATTAAACCTCCAGCGCCCCAAAAGCCATGGAAGCCGTTCATCTTTCTACAATTCGAATAGAAACCCAATGGCACAATTTTAGGTTCGCTCTTCTGAACTGACAACTTTCTCTACTTGGATTACAATTACAATTGCTTTGTGTGTGTTTTGCGTTTTGCACAGAAGGTGTTTGATATTTTTTCCTGCTGTCAAAAAATGTAGTGCAAATTATTTCTTTGTTCTTTGAATTTTTTTTTTAATAATGATCCTATTGGATTCCTGCTTCTGTAATCTCATTATTCATAAGAAGCAAAAACAGCTTGTTTGGTGCATGCCTTTTTTTTTAATGAATATTTTTGCGCATTGTGAATAACCTTAACTGATTTGGTGGGATTCTGGGATACGTGAATTTGGGTCCTGACTGGGTGATGAAATGAGCTCATATGGTGGTTTGACAGAGGAAAGAGTATTTCTTGAGGTTGCCACCAGCAAGAGCTTCTTTTAGTCATTATGAAATTACTTGTGTTAAGTTCAGCAGCTTTGAATGACAAAGGATCCTTTAGGGATGTAGGGATAATTGAGAGATTTTAAAAGATGAGACTGAATCTTCAGGATTGATTAGTGATATAGACTCACCTTTTGTATGCATCTGCTTATCTTTTCGCTATGGTTGAGCTTTACACTTACAGCACAACTCACAAATATGAAACTTAATGCATGTTAATTTTGTAAAACACTTGTTACGTAAATAAAGGTCTACTGATTTTCCAGTTGCTGTTTCATTGAAGTAGGTGGGTGGCATAGCACCAAAGAAGTCGAGCGGAAAACTTGGGAATTCCTTTTTCAAGTATGTTGTGTAAGCAACAACTGAAACAAAGGTTAATGCTTCGGCTATTTGTGTTCCCTACCATTTGCTGCAGCAGCTGTTATGGAGGCAATAGTAACGGAGTTCAATCTTATAATCTGCATCAGAGGAAATCACTCAACATGATATGGTAAAAGGGTTTTGTTTTAGGTGCTTCCACTTTCAAGCAGGATATATCCTTGTCAAAATTTTGATGCTGGTCGACTTTTGGTTTTACTTTTTTGCTGCGCCTGTTAGCCTTTTCAGTTTCTAGCACCCAATTGGAGAAAGGAAAAAACCTGTATACTCTTCTTCTAGTCCACTTGTCCTGAAATACAGAAAAACATGCATGCACTATCTCTTTTGAGGCATCGGTGGTTCTCGCAAACAATCAATCAAAAACTTTTTACCACCTCTTTATCTGTCTATCAAATGCCTTATACTTGCTTCAACTTTCTAAATACCCACACAGTTGATAAATTTCCCAAGAAAAGCTTAGACCCAGAAGAACCTAAGTGCTTATCTTTGAGAATTGAGAAACTTCCAAAAGGAGAATCAGTTGGATATGCCTTTCAAGGCTGGATGGGTGAAGGTTTTCCCATACATCGAGGTGACATTTTTCACACTATTAACCGCTTAAGGAAGCTCAAGTTAAACAAGCGCGCACTTGAGGTGTGTTTATTAGTGTTGTCTTAATAGTTCTTTGAGAACAAAACTTAAATATCAATCTTAGTCCTTGTTTAAGTGCTTAAATGAGTTACTCTACAACATTTTATCAGGTGATGGAATGGGTAATAAGGGAGAGACCCTACAGGCTCGAGGAACTAGACTACTCTTATTTGTTGGAATTCACAACCAAGCATCATGGGATATCACATGGCCAAAAGCTCTTCTTGCATGTCCCTTCTGAGTTTCAGAACAAATTACTGTATAACAATCTTGTAATTTCATGCTTGGAAAAAGGTGTGATTAGGCTTTCACTTGACTACATGAAGAAAATGAGGGAACAGGGTCATCCCATTTCATATTTGATTTTCAACCGCCTTATAATCCTCCATTCCTCACCTGGTCGTAGGAAAATGATCCCGAAAATCCTTGCTCAAATGAGGGCTGATAAGGTGGCTCCCCATGTTTCAACATACAATATTCTGATGAAGATTGAAGCAAATGAACATAATATCGATGCATTAGTGAAGTTATATAATGACATGAAGAGATATAAAGTTGAGCCGAATGAGGTATCTTTCTGCATATTAGCTACTGCACATGCAGCGGCGAGGTTGTATACTGTGGCTGTAGCATATGTTGAAGCTGTGGAGAAGTCATGTAGGGGAGACAACTGGTCAACACTTGATGTTTTGATCATATTGTATGGACATTTGGGAAAGGCAAAGGAACTAGAAAGAACCTGGGGCATTGTGCAAGAACTGCCTCATGTTAGGTCAAAAAGTTACACAATTGCAATTGAAGCATTTGGTAGAATTGGACAGCTTAGTCGAGCTGAAGAGCTTTGGTTAGAGATGAAGTCCATACATGGGTTGAAATCAACTGAGCAGTACAATTCCATGTTATCCGCGTATTGTAAATGTGGTCTTATCAAAAAAGCTACTGGGATTTTTAAGGAAATGGAGAGCAATGGGTGCAAAGCAAATGCCATAACTTTTCGACATCTTGCATTGGGCTGTTTAAAGGCCAACTTAGTGGAGGAAGCCTTAAAGACTCTAGAAATGGGGAAAGACCTGACAACAAGCAATAGGGTAAAGAATTCAACCCCGTGGTTGGAGACTACTCTTTCAATAATTGAAATTTTTGCAGAAAAGGGTGATGTCGTTAATTCTGAGAAGTTGTTTGAAGAACTTGCGAAAGCAAAGTATGCAAGGCACACTTTTGTATGCAATATCTTAATAAAGGCTTATGTGAAAGCCAAGATTTACAATCCGAATCTCTTGAGAAGGATGATTTTAGGGGGTGCTAGGCCAGATGCTGAGACATATAGCCTGATGAAACTTGCTGAGCAGTTTCGACCGTGATTTTGATATGCTTAAGTTGGTTTTGCCGTGCTTTTACATTTTATTCGTTTTTCCTAACTAGAAGATAAATGTTAAGTGTATCAATACTTGTGTGTGGAAAAAAATGAATGACATGAAAGAAATTGAGTGTGATCTTGCAGATTAAAGGATCGGTGTCCCATATATTCGTTTTTAGAACAATAGTGGCATGCATATGATGAACTCCACATTCTGCGAGTGTATTTTCTTGCTTTATGTCAGTTAAGTTTTTTTATTGCATAGAGAGATTATTAATGGATGTGCACACAAACAATAAGAGTATTGAAGGATTTTTATATAATCACAGGGTCCCATGGATTAGTTTTCCAGGTATCATTTACTAATCTGTACTAAAAATTCCATCAGTTACATTTTGTATAAACTCGGTTTAACGAAAGCAGCATTAGCAATCAGCCTCAATTCCTTCTGTATTTCAAGTCGTCAACTCTGTTTCCTTTTGCAGCAGCTTGCTGCTAGAAAATAATAATAATAATAATAATTATTATTATTATTATTATTATTTAACTTCTAGGACGTCATTTGCTCTCTTACTATGCATCTCTACAAGGGCCTTTCGCCAATTAGTACTTTGTGCTAATTCCAAAAAATAAGATAATATAAGAAAAACAAAATATCCTATGCAATTGCGACTGTTAACTTTTGGTTTCATTTTTCCTCCTTTTGTAATTGTTATGCGTACTGGAATTCAGTTATTGCAACTTCTGTTTTGATTTATTATAATAGCATTTGTAAGAAAAGAGAGCGACTCTCTCGAGAGCCGACAACCTTCGGGCAAGGGTTTTTTTCCTCCCTTGCTAATAACTAATTTTATAAACATTTCATTTTTATTTCTAATCAATCCATAGATCCTCAACAAAGATGTTTGAAAAGGCAACTTTTTATTCAGGGAAAACACTTGCAGGAAACAAATAATTGCATAAACGACAGTTACCTAGCATATTTATACTATCACATGAAAATCAACATAGTTTTAATACCTCCTTACAACAGTTCAATGAGATAAGAGACAAATTATATATTTTCGCAAATCATGTTAGATAGTTGATGAATGTTGCAGCAGTTGCAATAGCACCCCCAGCAATGGCATCCATCACAACCGTGTCTTTATGCTTGTTACTGGCAGCAGATATCAGAGCTCCTGTCAACGCCCCTCCAAGCATGGCATTCTTCTACAATGGATTTAATGGCAAAAAAAAATACGCTAGAGGTAAAGTTTTTGAATGAAAAAGAGAAGATATACGTATATATTGGAATGTAAATATCGGATGCTCACACAAGCAATGTAAATATTGGATGCCCACAAAAGCATGCATTGCGCAAAGGCACACAACACTAGTATCAGAAAAGGATTGATTCTAGAACTTTTCCAATATCATGTAAATCATCTACCAGCAAAATTAAGTTTTATGCAGAATAAGGAAATTGAATAACCAAAATAATCATTGTTGCAATAATTTTATGGAGTAGAAAGCCGTGCATATTTGTACAATTCAAGCTATGGATTTTGTCCTTGAAAGCATAGTTTATCACACATATCCTTCTAATTTGGCAAGATGAACTTGTTCACCTTGGATTGGTCATTGAAATTCTCATCACAAAAGTACCAATCATTTATTACAGCTAACATAATATCCGTCCTCCAAAATTGTTTTCCAGTCTCACAATCATGGTAAATGCATACTTCAGGTGTTCTTGAGAAAAAAGGATTACAACTGACAAGTTAAAAAACCAGCAAAATCATTGTTGAAATTCAGGAAAAAAAAAAAAAAAAAAGAGAGAGAAAAATGGCCAGCACCCTCATTCGTGGAATTCTCTTATGATTATACTTGGACCCCATTAAGACTAGTTCAAATATTAGTATAAAGAACATACCCAGTCTCGAGTGCCACGAATTCTCTCCATTCCATATTCCATTCCGACATACATGCCAGCAACAGTTCCTGTACAATTGGTATAAGAAATTCTTAAAGCTGTTTAATTTACTGAAGCATTTGCCAAGAAGCATGCATGCTTCATAAACAAATACTGTAAGTTGGCTAAATAAACTATGCAAAACAACACACACTTACCCCAATAAGCACCTTCTTTGCACATCTTCTTTAACTGCAACAACAGGTACTTACATTAGTATGAAAGAAATAATTTTTTGCGTTCTTCAATTATTGCAACCTTGACTATTAACTAAAACTAACAATCAGAAATCTTCAAGGCTAATATTCTTCAACCATCAACAATGATACCCTGCATATGTAGTTTGCAGTATCTCGTGAGACAATTCAAACTTCAAAATCAACAATTGCTCATAATCCGAAATGCTGCCCTCATAATCCGAAATCCTGCCCTTGACTTCAGTCCTTTACAGGAATCCCAAGATAATGGTTGATATTGAAACGCAACCACCAGGACATCAAGATGGAAATTTTGTGGCTCCTTTCTGACAAAGGAGTATGAAGAAGAAAATGGCCTCACAAAATTTTGAAATACTGCCGTTCCATGGCTACCATCTGGCTAGTGTCACTAGCAATGGTTGGCCAATAGACTCTTCCTAGAAAAATCAAAGTCTTGCATAGTTCTTGGATATTTAGGGCAGTTACTGTTATTTACAGATATCAAGAAGAACAAAGAAGAGCAGGTAAAACGTGTAGCTGCATTTGAACACAGCCATCATGGATCAGAGAATTAATAGAGGAAGGAAAAATTAGTGAGCGATATTGCTATTGAACTTGCTCTTCCTCAGATTTCAATCTAGCATCAGTTTTTTTCAATCAAATATAAATCAAACATTCAATCAAATTAAATTACAGACTTGCAGTATGCAACACATAACTAACTAACATCATCATCAATAGGTAGAAAAGAGAACCAAAAACTATTAAACCATAAATATTTCCTAAAAAAGTATAGGACTATTCCAATTCCTAAAAAGAGACAAGCATATTGCAACTTTCACCAGATAATCTCTAGCTACATAGGTATGCTCACCGTATGCTCCATATTGCGGGTTGAAACACTCCCTGCATAAAAAACCTAACGGTTACAGCACTCCAGAACTGGTAATTAAAATTAGTAGTGCTTCATTGATTTGGTCTTCTAAATACAGTCTCCTATATATAATCAAAAACAGATCACTTAATCATATCATAACACCTTCTTATAATTCACGTGAATTTGAGAGAATATAAGAGAAAGATTCAAAATGAGGACCTCGTTTGACAGCATAATATGCATCCTCAGCAAGTGATCTGGTTGCTGCAACCTGGAAAAAAAAAAAAAAACCAAACAAAGATAGCAAACGGCGGTAGTTTAAGAAATGGAGAGGAACCCATTATTAAAGAAAAGAGAAATTGAGGGAGAATTATACGTACGGCGCCAACCTTCAAGAAACCATCAACAGTGACATTGAGAAAGGGATTGCCCATGTCGATTGCCACAACAAGTTTTGGGGTTGTTAAAGAACCCGCGAACCTGCTACTTGGCATATTGAATCTTTCCTGTGCTTCTTCACTTCACTTCTCCTATCCCAGTTTTCTAGCTCTAGACTAGATTTTTGTGGTAGTAATTAGAAAGTAATCCTCTTTCGTTCAGTTGCTTATAAATTAAGATATATAATTTGGCTGAGTCTCCTCACCGTCAAAACTTCATAAGCTTATCATTCGGCTGTAGTTGAGGAAGCGGAGGTGACATGTGACGGGAGTGGGTTCCTCCACTCTCCAATGTACTGCCACATGTTCGGCTCAGTTCTCTTAGCTGATTGTTTCATGCTACATAATTATTATTTTTTTCCATGGATTCATGCTACATAATTTTACTTCAACTATAACATTATTATATGCTTAAACGTCCTATGAACTTATAATTTTAAATGGTTTCTCTTAGCAATCAATTTACAAAGCAACGGTAACCTGTATTAGTCCTTCTATTCCTCGAATACCTATATTGTTTTTTTAGTTTGGTTGGGTTCTCTTATGTCTATGTTAATTTTTATTAAAATTGACCAAATAAATGATTGTCACGTCTCTATTTATAATTAATAAGTAATAGACGTCGCCATAAAGTTAAATAAAAAGAAAAAAAAAGACTTGATTTTTAACAAAATAAAGGTTAAAAAAATAATTGAGGAAAGACAAAAGCAAAGCTGACACGATATTGTGACCAAATTTTCCAACCAGGCTGAAAGTTTAAGCTCCATGTGGACCCAATGTGTTTTCAGTTTTTATTGAGCTGAAAGGTGCAGCCTGTATTTACTTTTCTTATTTGTTTTATTTAGGTTTTTTTTCACATATAGACTTTTATTTTTGCTGAGAGTTTTTTTTTTAGATTTTATATTTATTTAGGATTGATCTAGATTAATTAATCCTTATTGAATTTGTATGGCCGAATATTCTACTTTTACTTTTTGTCGTTGATAAAATATTTTGAAGTATTTAAATATCTTTATGCAATATGAAAAAATAACTTTAATTATTGATTAATTAAAATTTTTGAGATTTTTCTCTCAATTATCTCCTACACAATCTTTATACTTAAGAATTTTCTGTTTTTCGATATCCTTGAAATTGACTATTTAATGTGATGCTATTGATCGTCATGAGCTAAGAGTATAGTAAAAGTCTAAATCTCATCAAAATCATCTAAAATTAAACTATTTAACCAAAGTTGTAGTGAAATTTTAAATTTCATCAAAATTAATCAAAATTAGAGTTATTTCTCACTTCAAAAGTTTCGATCTTGATCAATGTGAGGTTGATAGCTTTTCCATTTCAATAACTTTGTGGGTGGAGGATTCGGCTTCACTGAATCTTTGTGTGTATGAATTTTGACTTCAGCAAACAAAAGTTGCTTGCATTTGGATTTAATCTAAATCATCACAAAATAGATGTCAAAAACTAAAATCTCAAATTTTATTATATATTAAATATATTACACCAATTTTATGAGTAAATTATAAATTAGTCCCCCTCATTTAAAAAAAAACAAATTAATTAGTCATTCTGGTTTTAAAAACTAATTAGTTAGTCTTTTTAACTAATATTAACCATGACTAATTTAATATTTTTTATTTTATAAAATATCTTCTTTTTTATCAACATTTTCACGTTTTTTTCTTATATTTTATTCATTTTCTATTTCTTAAAATAAAATATCAAAATAAATTAAAAAGTAACAAAAAAGATTAAACAATTAGTTTTTGACACCAAAAAGGTTAATTAATTCATTTCTAGAAGCGAGAGGCACTAATTTAAAATTTACTCCCAATTTTATTCAATCCCAAAGCTTAATATATATTCAGTTTTTTTTTCAATTTTTGTTAAATATTTTATTCAATCCCAAAGCTTAATATATATTCAGTCTTTTTTTTTCATTTTTGTTAAATATTTTATTAATAAAATATTACCTCTTAAATACAGAATTAGCAACAATAAATACAACACAAAATTCCAATGAAAAACGAGATATTTTTATTGGTCGTTTTGTTGGACGAAGAGAAAAAACTAGCTGGCATTTGTTATTCAAATATATGAGAAATCCAAGAACTTATTCACCACCTTTTTTTTTTTAACAAAAAAAAGACGTGTTTGATCAAGTAATCTCAAATAGTTGCTTAACAGTAAAGTCTTCATCGCCACATTAGATTCGGTCATATATATCATTGTTTTTCACATTAAATAATATTACTTTATCATTTATAATTATATAAGGGATTACCTTGGTTACGCAGCCAAAGATATTCTAGCCCTCCAACCGAAAAAAATTTTGGGAAAAAAAACTTAAATATAATAGCAACTCGAATTATATTCCAAAATAGGCAATGTAAGTAGGTATTAGGAGAGAAATTTTATATTACTAATGAAGTAATTAATGTAAATTATTTTATAAAAGAAAGATAATCACAAAAATAAAAAATAAAAAAATAAAATTAACCTTAAGTAAGAATGTTTTTATCATTTTGATGGATTCAAATGTAATTTTTTTATCTATTTTTCTTAAAGATAGGCTTATGAAATGAATATTGCGTATTGTGTATGTGGTTTAAAATTTCTCGGTCCTAGCTAGGGCAAGCAACTGATCTCTTTTGTTTTGGGTTTCTCCGCTCCTGACCAACTTCACAGACTGCTCCTCCGCCTCCTCCAATGTCATTCCATCCTTCTTATGCAATGATAATGCTCGAGATTATAGCAACTAGCGGATTCGTTTCTCTAATAATTTTATGTTGCTGTTTGTGTATAATCTTCTCCCGCCCTGTTCCCGGGGATCAAGATCATGATGATACAGAAATCGAAACAGGAAATAATCATGATATTGAAAGTAATGGAACGGGAAACCAACAATCTGAGACGACGAAACAAACACGGCTGGAGGCTTTAACAAAGTCTTTCGTTTCTGACAAGAACTCGGGTGACAGTATTTGTGCTGTGTGCTTGGAACAGTTCGTTGAGGGAGACGACTGTCGGGTGCTCCCAGAGTGCAATCATGCGTACCATAAAACCTCCGTCGATGAATGGCTTCTTAGAAAAAATCATTGCCCGCTTTGTCGTGTTTATGTTTGGGCTACAAATTTTGATTTAGAAAAACCATAAGTTTAGAATAATTCAATGACTGCAGATTTTGGTTCCTGTTTTCTGTAAGTTGAAGACTCCTAACTAATTATTAAGACCCTGCTTTATTTTCTTATATGAGTTTTCCTTGTGTTATTAAGAAATTAACAATGTAGACGTTTTTTAACTCAGCACTCTCCAGCTTATTCGCGTGGAAAGCACATTAATTAACAGTACTGCGTGCAGGCATGTGCAAACACAAGGTGCACGTCTTCCACTCAACTGCTTTTCGCAGAAGTTGTTGTAAATTTCACTGAACAAAGGGTGATTACAAACAGAGGAAAGTGCCACCATGCATTTTAGACGACAAGGCGCAGCCTCCGTGCCCTGCCGTGGCCCGATCATAAGGAGACATGTAATTGGTTCGCTCTACGTTGTTCTAGTTAACTCACGCATCATTTTTGTTTGTTTGTTTGTTTTTTTTTTTCGTTCATTTGGAGGCCCAACGTGCTTTAGACTTTACAATAATACAATCATTAGACTAAAACTACCCGTATGTAATTGCCAAAAGGGACATATATATATATATTAGGATTATTTCATGTTTTTATTGACTTCGAAACAATTTAATTACATAAATTATGCTAAATGAAAACCTTTTTCTTTAATCTAACTAATACTAAAAACAAATAGTTAAATACATGAAATGGTCGAGTATACGATGACGGATTAACGAATGAGTAATGACTCGTTATCAATTTTCATACATTTTGGATTAACAATGATGGAGCATCGACGACAATTCAATGACGTAATACTATTGTCCTTGAATTAGGTGATAAATTTTTGATAATTAATTCAATGACGGATTACCAACTAATTTGTAACGATATTTAATGACGGATGATATTAGTTGTTGTTAATTTTAGTAGGATTTCACGTGCTAATTTTTCGTAAATGTGAGATGATTTGACGACGGCTTGTCTACGTTAATGACTATTATTCCATCGCAATACAACAACAGATTTTGGTTAGTGATTATTCTACGGTGAATTCAAAGACGGAACATTTTGTTGCCAATAAAAGGAAAAGTGGCATAATTTAATAAATTCAAACAACGACGAATACTTATGAATAACAATGGAATTGCATCTATTACTAAAAAAAAAATTAATCTAGCAATATCCCTCTTCTTCCTCCATTTCTTTTCTTCCATAATTGTTGTCCCTATCAAACCATGGTCGTCGTCCTTCTCAAATCATAGCCATTGACACAACCCTCACTAGCCTTCATAAAACGCCGACGACCACTAAAACTAGCTACCGATACATCCTTTGTCGACCTCCACCGACTCACTATTCCTCCCCATCGCTCTCTGCCCAAAATGCCAACCGACCTAGACCAATAAACCTTGATCGCCACCAATAAATCCTCATTATTGACAACTATGGCGACTACTACTACTCCACATGCAGTCGCTTTAGTTGTGCGAACCACTGCATGAGCCATCATTCAAATTGCACCAATCACTCGTTCTAGTCACACCAACCATCGTTCTAGTTGCTCTAGCCATCATGTCGATTGATCTAGCCATTTTAGCCGCACCACCACACGTCGATACACCAAGTTCTCAACGGATAGTCGATTGTACCCTAAAAGGTATTTTGATCACTACATATTTTGATGATATCTTAGTAGTTACCATAGTATTTTGACTACGAGGTAAGTTATCTAAACTTTAAATTTTAATTCATGTCGTTTGTAGAACAATTTTGAATTAAATTTGGATATTGATGAAATTAAGATAAAATGTATTTTATTAATGATCATTTAAGTGTGTCGAGATATGTTGTAGATAATCAAACCCAAAGGATCGAAATGCTCAAGAATTAAGGAGAAATAAGGCGGTGTCAATGCTCCGTGATAGAGTTGAAAAGATGAATTATCGAAGTAATTGTTGATCTTGATGTGTGTAATTTTAACTGGTTATTTTTTAATTTTGATTGATTAAATATGTCTTATTATGTCTATCGGTTTTATCAATTAATGGCTTAATTGTTGCTTGATGATGATTGAATGAATATGCCGGTTGCTTATTTTTTGTTTTAGTAGAAAATCATGATGCTTAAAGTTACGTCGATCTAAGCTCGATTTAGAATGTTCTCATCAATTTTGTCAATTTATGCTTATACGCTTGTTGATTTTACCATTTTTTGTTTGAAAATTGTGACACTTGAAGTCACGTAAGTTCAAGCCTTGATTCGATCGTTCTTGCCAATTTGACCTAAAATTCCTATTTGCTTATCAATTTTGTCGTGTTTGCTTGTGTATGTCTAAAAATCATCGCCTTTGAAGTCATGTTGGTTCAAGCCTCAATTCGGATTGCTTTTTTTGAGTATATCATTTATGCCTGATTTTATTTTCTATTTAGTTAAAAATCATGATGCTTGAAGTTGTATCGGTTTAAGCACCGTTTCAAATCGTTTTTGCCAATTTCGCATGTATGTGTGTTTTGTCTTTGAAAACCACAATGGCCAAAGTCGTGTTAGTTCGAACCCTATTTTGGATCATCTTTTCCTTTTTTGCCATTATACCTTTTTATGTTGAAAATCGCAAAGTTTAAAGTCGCATCGGCTCGAATCCTATTTGGATCATTTACGCTAATTTTTTTACGCTCTTGCCAATTTTGTTTTGTTTTGTTTGTTTTCATGCAAGTCTTAATCTATTTGCTTTGAATTTATATTTATTAGGTCTCAAAATAAGGATAAGACCTATGACCATTCAAGTCCCAAATCACTTAATCGACTAACAAATATTTAGAACTTGGCATAGATCTCCATCACGATAAAATAAAAAATTATGTCAAGAATTATATGCAATGCAGCTTATTTTAGGCGAGGATCGAGTAGGATGATTTGTAATCTTTCCTACACGTAACTAACCTCTTAATATGAACTTTGAGCATACCATCCATATAATTTCATAGTGACCTTAACACTAGGTGGCACTCTATTTTTTATTCATTGCTTATTTTTAAATCGTCGACTTTCTTAATGTTAACTCTGTAATATATGTTTTTTATTTGTTATATTGTTAAAATATATCATATGATACTGTATAGGTGATGACTCGATGTTCGATTGTCCTAGATGAGCATCCTATTCGACCGGATAAGATGTAAGTTGTCATGTTAGTGGTATTGAAAGTGGCGAGTAGTCCTGGTTTTGATCCAAAACACATATCCAACACTTTTGTATCATCGGCATCAACTCTTACATTCCCTTCTTTCCTCACCATAGGTGCCCATTACTTGCTTCATCGCCGACATCGGTGCCTCCATCCTCAATGCATCTCCCATATGACAACGGTCGGCTTGTATAGAGCCAATCAGTAAAGATCACCTTAGTGGTTTCTTTTGCTTCGAGTCGTAGTTTTAGAAGTGATGTTGACTAGACCACTCATGTCATGAATAAGAGATACATATTATGTACACCAATATAAATAGTATTATATTTACTTTACTATTGGTAATTATTTATATATTACTATATTATTTTTTATGAAGTCACTTATCTTTTTTTTTCATGAATTCACTACCATTTTTAGAAAGCGATTAAACCCTTCCGGATCTACGTAGAAATAGAAGACCAAAGACTTCTATTGGAGTAAGTTTAAAATAACATATTAATTGTTTATTTATATTACTTTTAAGTTATTTTAGTAAATCTAACATGAAATGTACAACTATTTATTTTCTTCTTCTTTCGAAGTACTAATATGGGAGAAAGCCATCAATCGACTAGTTAAGATAGCATGGGAGTGTCATACATACAAACAATATGTCGATATGTTGACTAGTTGAAAGAGGAAAAGGACCAAAACCCTGTTTATCCTAAAGTAAGTGTGGGAGGAATGGCGGTAATAGAGGACCACACCTAAATTTTGGGTCCATTACGAACGAGCATTCGGAATTCCAAGAGCAAAATAGGTGGCACCGGTATTGGTCCATCTAAATATATCGGGGTTCCATATCATAGATTAAGCATGATCTATGTATCATAAATCCTATCATCTATTATGTTATAAATTATTATTTACGGTTATTACAACTCATATTATTTATGTTAATTTTTTCGGGTTAAGGAATTAGGTCATGACCCAAATCCTTACGAGTTATTCATGAGAACTCACTAGTTGTTTGGATGAGTCATTCATCGATATGCAATCCAAGATGATTAAGGTAATTTTTTTATTTTTTTAATTATAAGTATGCCAATTTAATATAAAAATTAAATTTATTATTTAATATTATAATTTTTTTAATTACGTAGGAGCGAGTAGACTAATTGTATGAGGCGGTTGCTAGCCAAGCACCGAGAGGGTTCTTCATTGTCTTCGGATGTTGAATTAGCTTGGATATATCTTGAGGTTGTAGAAGAATAGAAGAAGCATAAAGTGTAAGGACTCGAATCATAAGCGTTTTAGTATTGCTCTCATTCGACGTCGACTTATTCCCTGTCACATTGCAGTTCCATAGTGGCATGAAATAGAATGATGAGTAATGCCGAAAGCAACTTTAAAAATTAGAGCACGACTGGGCTCGGGGAATCCAAAAGATTAATAAGGAACACAAGGTGAAATATCGACTTCTCCATCAAGAGCTGCAAGAGACTCGACAAGAGCGACGGGAGGTGGCACAACAACATGAGTAACATATGCACATGATGTAATAGTTATTACGAGAGATGCGGACCCGCATTCACCCATCTTTTCCTCCTCCTTACCCTCCCGATAGCCGCCCTTTTCCTCCCAATGCCCAAAAGCCACCTGGATGATGATGATGATCTCTCATCTCTACCTCTTTAATTAGACTAGCTCTTTTGTAACTTTTTTTTATTATTATTTTCATACACTAGAGCACATTTGTATGTATTGGATATAATTTTATATTATTTTTATTTTACATAATAATATTCTATGTTATAATTTTATTTTAATTGCTTACTATTGCAATTAAACATTAAACCACTTATAATGAATTTTAAAGAAAAATTATATTGCCTTTATTAGTGATGGATCAATGACCAACTAATGATGAAAAAAAAGATCAAACTATATCAACTACTAACGGACAACTACGAAATCCTTCACTATATGGTCGACCAATGGCGACAGATTCCATCGACAAATCACCAATGGATAGCAAAAATTTCCGTTGGTATATTAGCGACACAAAGCTAATATAGCAACCATATTTGGTGATCAAATTCTACGAGGAATTTCCATCTTTATATAGTGACGGAAGAAAAATAACCTATCGGTAGTGTTGTGATAGATGTTATAATTACAAACCGATTGTTTACATCGATGACGGAAGTAGTTCATTATAGCAAAAATTTTATGAAAAACACAAAAAATAGTAATTATTAAATAAAAAATTAAAGAAAAAATTATAATATTTTGAAATGATTTTGTTCTATTTACCCATAGCGTTGCGCGGATAATTTTAAAAATTAATCTTTTCATCAACATTAAATAAGAATTTTTTTTCTTTTGTTAATTTTTATAAAAGTCTCGTCCATTAATTATAAATTTATTTTTTGAAATATAATTTTATGGAAATTATATTTTTAATTTTTTTTTCAATTCTTGATTAATATTACGATTAAAATTATTATAATTTTTAATTTTAAAATCAATCCATAAAGAAGAATGATTTATATTTTTTTAAGCATAAAATTTATAAAAATATTAGAAAAAATTAATTAAATAAAATTTTATAATTAAAAAAATTTTAAATTTTTAAAAGAAGCTTAGGTTGTGTTTTTTTAGAGGAAAACAAGTTCCCTCATTTTCCAATGTTTGTTTTGTGTTTAAGAAAAAAGTCAACGAAAAATGATAGAATATTTTTGAGAAAATGTTTTCTCGATTAAAAAAAGAAAAACATTTTCCTTCTCATGAGTTGTCTCCCTCTCGCGTTACTTACCTTTCTCTTGATGTATTTTAATAATGTTTCTCTATCTTATTTTTATTTAATATATATCAAATTTATTTTTAATTATTTCTTATCAATTATTATTAATTATTTAATTATTTTTCTCTATTTCTATTAATATTTGATTTTTTGATTTATAGATATATTAAATATTCTTTAAAATCATTTTTACACCTTAAAATTATTTTTATAATAGATATTTCAATAACTTATCTCTATTTTTTATTGTTATCTCAAACACCACTTAAACTATATTTAAATGATTGAAAATCATTATTACAAGACAGTAATTTTTTATTAAAAAATTAAAATTACTTAATTCATTAATAAATACATTATTTTTTCAACACTATTCATTTACAAGTAAATCAATAATTTGTAATTTTTTGTAAAAAAGAAAAAGAAATTAAATGATTGGAAATTATTATTACAAGACTGTAATTTTTTATTAAAAAATTAAAATTAAGTCATTCGTTAATAAATATATTATTTTTTCAACACTATTCATTTGTAAGTGAATCAATAATTTGTAATTTTAATCGGTTGTAAAATTTTGTTGGTAATTGTAATGAATAATTAGTTACAAATTATTTCAACATTAATGTTTTTAAACCAAATGAATAATTATATACAAATGATAACTTATAATTTATAAAACTATTTTTGAGATTAAATTATTAATTCAATTTCTAAAAAAAAAAATTCTTAATTGAGTCATCAAAATAACAATGCTAGGATTACTTAGAATTTTTTTTTATATACTAAATGTGAATATTGACTTGATTTTATCCCAAATAATTTTGATAAATTGGTTTGATAGTTAAGAAAATATATTTTATTTTTTGAATTAAAATTTTAGAATTAGTATTTATAAAAATTTATTAATTTTTTTCTAAATACATCTCATATTATGAAATTATGAATATGTCTTTTTAAAGTTTCCTTAAAACTTGATATAACAATCACATATTATTTTTGTATTTTAATTTTCTGTATCAAATAAATACTGAAATATATTTTCTAACAGTTTTTTCATGTAATTGTCAAACAGCAAAAAATATTTTCTTGAAAAATAATTTCCTTAAAAATAGCTTTTTCATAAATTGATTTTTCTATAAAAATAGTTTTCCTCCAAACAAACCAAGCCTTATACCATTCGTATTAGCCTCTCTATAAATACAATCATACTGAAATTACCAACAATCTGTTTACAAAAATGCTCGACCGAATTAACAAGACGCAGTCTTTACTGGAATTGAAATTCTGAAAAAAGCTTAAAAAGCTTAAACCAACTCTCATAAACAATCGTCTAAGCATTTGGTCACTTGATATTTCACTTGAATATAGGCATTAGATTGCATAAAAAAATTTACAGCAGACAAACAGTACCGGCAATAGAATCAAGTTAGAAGACACGGAATTAATCAATAGTTATCCCACCCGTCCATTTTAAAGCCCAAAAGAATCATGAAGGGCTGATTAATCTAGCCTGCTAACCATTTTAAGCCCACTACAAGGCAAAAAATAACTTCTATTTATCGTACAAATACTAGAAAAGAAAAAAGTGGATAAATATCAAGCCAGAAGCCACTGTAAGCATTTTTTTATCGGTGCAATAAAATCTCCTCGATATTCCTGCCACCGACTTTTGCTGCACCTTTAGCCCGTCGAAAGGATAATCGCAAGCCTCGTAACCTACAACAAAATACACGTAGACAAAGTTTCTATAACTTTAAAAATCAAAGTCGCTCGTTCGTACAGATACTGATTTTTCCTTTTTCTTTTTTTACGAGGTGGGGCAAAAGAAAAAAGAGGGGAAAAAAAGAAAAAAACACTTACTAGGATCGGTTGAGGTGAGCACTCCAGTGTGGCTGAAATCACAGTTGATGTCATGACGACCAAAGGCCTGATAGTAGGCATTCATTGCATATGATGCATGTGATCTCACAGTATTAGGGTCAAAACAAGGCCCACCTTGTTGTATGGGTTTGCAATCGACTCCACTGCTGCACACATAATCTATGTTCTTCTGTAACGCCTCATCACTAGCGTCTGATCTCGGCACGCACCATTGCCTTTGCCTGCCCGGACTGGACGGCGATGGGGCACGCGCTGTAGCTGTAGCACCACTACCAGCTGTAGGAGCCAGTGCCTGTGATGCAGAAAAGAATGGACTAAAACAGACGTTCACCATAGATTCCAATTAAAAATTAAAAAATCTAGAAGGCAGCATGTGATATCAGCCAAAGGTGCTTCATTTGCTGGATTTTTTTTCTAGGGAATATTTTTCTTTTATCACATAACAACAATTAAAGCAGAAAGGAAGGGCGGGAATTATATATATATATATATATATATATATATATATATACATATATATATATATATATATTTTTTTCCAAGTTTTAACAAAGAAACCACAAAACCAAGCATCGGAGACAGATGCCCACTAATTATTGTCGCACATTTCAACTGGTTACTTTGTTGTATAAAAAATAATAATAATAATAATAACAGAGAAAATATCTTTCAGGACAGAAATATCCTAGAGAGAGCCCCATTATTAAACGCAACAACGAATGAGTAACAAGACATTTGTCCTCACTCCTCATCCCAACATAAAAGCTGGAAGTGTCAGACCTTAGCTTTGAAAAATCAACATTAGTGACAGGCACCATAGCTGATTAGCTCTGGTTTCAAAATAACCAGGAATCGAATTCTGACACATTATTATCGTTACAAAAAATAAAAGGTCGAACTATGATATAGCATGATTTGAATACTCCTGTTATACCATCAAAATTAATAACCCTCAACCGACCCCAGGACCCCTACTTAACTATTATTATTCGATGTTAAGAGTATCTACACCCAGCAAGTTAACTTGTCCTATGTGGCAAATTAAGTGAGAAAATCAGCCGGCGGTAGTTAATAAAAGCTATTAATAACAGTAAAAGAAAAAATTACCACTATTTATTACTTTTACTTAATGCTAGTCTAGTAAGTGGGACTGTAGGAATCATGGACTTAGAAATCACCTTGTCGGTGCGTAAAACTCCGACATCATAAACCGGGGTAAGATCTGGCTTGAACAAACCAAAATTCCGCTCCGAAACGGACGATTTAAGATTCTCATTAAACAAAGAGAAAATATAAGTCTCGAAAGTTCTATTAGGCATCAAAGGTGTTCCTTTCCCTGAATTCACGTGTTTCACGAGGTTCTTGTTGTACGACACCGCATTCTCCATGCTCACACCCGGTTGATTCGGGTCACCCACGGACGGCCAACCCGTTTCAGCCACTACAATGTCCACATCGTCATATCCCAACCTCTTCATCGCCGAATAAACTGCATCAAGCTGCGCATCAAGCATGTTCGTGTAATTCTTTCCCGTCGCCGCGTCGAAAACGCCGCTGTTCGGTTTAAACAACGCGTAGTTTAAAGTCTCTGCCTTGAACCCAAAATAGGGGTATGGATTAACCATGAAAGGCGACTTTGCCTTGCGGTGAAAATCGAGCATCGGAGCAAAAATTCTTTGGTCGTACCCTTTCCGAAACTTACCTGTACTAGGTGGTTCAGATGAGGATAATATACCTAAAGAGTGAGGCGTGGAGACGTGAATAGTAGTGATATTAGCAAGTTGAAGTGCTGACGTGAGGGCTTTCAAAGCAGGCAAAGTGTGTGCTATTAGAATTTTATCAGAAGTAGCAAGGACCTCGTTCCCTACTGCAATGTATTTGATGGTTGTTTGTGGATGGAATGGTAAAATGTTTGCGGCAATCCATGATTGGGCAGCCGGGAGTTTGGCAAGAGAAGGGATGTCGCCGTTTCCGACGGTTACAGTTACTGAGATTCCAGTGTTGGCAAAAGCGCGGAGAATGTCTGGGTTGGTGTCAAAGATCTTGATCCGGTCTATGATGGTTTGGGTTTTAAGGAAGTTGGCTACTTGGGATGGTGGAGGGAGGTTGTCTGCTACGGTTCCGTAGTTAACACCAATTGTATAGGCGGCGGAAGCAGAGCGGAGGTAGTGATGGTGGAGAGTGAAGAAGAAGAAGAAGAAGAAGAAAAGCAGGGGGAGGTACAGGGTTTTGCCATTTTTTTTTCCCTAATGAATGGAGGTTTTGGTAAAGAGAAAAGAGTAAAGACTGAGAAGCTGGTTGCGTTGTGTTTTGGATTTAGTGAGTCGGGGATCAGTTGTGGGCGCCACTGGATTTAACTATGGTCTTAAACTGTGGTTCACGGGTTAAGGCGGTGAATGATTGAATGCTGATCTCTGTGTAAACGGAAGCTTTAAGTGGATAACAATAGCATATAAATTTTAGGGTTAAAGATCGAGCGTATTCTCAATTGTTTTTTTTTTAAAAACAATCGTATTGTTTTATTTTGATAATTATATCCTATTATTAATTTATATCTTAATTTTATTTTTCTAATCAATTTTTTTAATAACTATATTAATTTTTGACAACAAACTCACAAAATTGCCATACATGATATTTGTTTCAAATAAAAAATTTTAAAAATCCTAAAAAATAAAAAAAATTTAAAATGTTCCTCTTTTTCTCTACCTTTATATATAAAAACAAACAATTAAACTTATCTCTCATTTTTTTTCTTTCTCTTAAATTCAAACCAGAAAATAAAATTTATTTATATACAGAAAAAGTAGAAGCAAAATTTTTTTATTTATTTTAAAAATTTATTTCAAATCCAAACTCAAAAGAAAAATTTATGAAATTTTTTTCATGACATAAGAATAAAAGGAAAAAGCAATAAAAAGAAAGGTATTCTAGGGATTTTTTTATTTTTTCAGAATTTGAGAGAAAGCAAAAAAATTGACAGATGAAATTAATTATTTATTATATATAAAGGTAGAGAACAAAATGGGTATTTTGGAATATTTTTTTTTCCAGATTTTTTAGGATTTAAAAAAAATCAAAATTCTTTTGAAAAAATATCACGTGTTAACATCCTATGAGCCTATTGCTGAAAATTGATGTAGTTACTAAAAACTTTGGCCGGAAGGACAAAATTAAGGTGCAAATTAAAAATTAAAGGATATGATTAAGATAAATAAAAAAATAGATGGACTTTCTTGAACTTTAACCCATAGATTTATGCAAAGGAGAAAAAATGCGAGAAAAAGACTTCAATGACAATTATAACCCGAATAGTATTGTGCATTCAATTCCAACTTATCTATCCTCTGCAAAAATGCAATAAAATTTTTTGAACAAATTAAAAAATCTTGAAAAAAAAATTTAAGTGTCCTTCTTTTTCTCTATCTCTATACATAAAAAATAAATAATTAATTTTATCTCTCAATTTTTATTTTTTATTTTTTTATTTTTTTATTTTTATTTTTTTTGCTTTCTCTTGAATTCAAACCAAAAAAGAAAATTTGTTTATGCATAAGAAAAAATAAAATCAAAATTTTTTTCTTTGTTTTAAAATTTTTTTATGAAAACTTATTTCAAATCCAAACTCAAAAGAAAAATTTATGAAATTTTTCCATAACATAAGAATAAAAGGAAAACGCAGATTAAAGGAAGGATATTCTAGGATTATTTTACCTTTTTTAGAATTTGAGAGAAAGTAAAAAAAATTAATAGATGAAATTAATTATTTATTTCTATATATACATGTAGAGAAAAGGATGAGTATTTTCAAATTTTTTATTTTTTTAGGATTTTTAAAATTTTTTTAAGATTTTTTTTTTAAAATATTACATGTCAACATCCTATAAGTCTCGTTATCGAAAATTGATATAGTTACTGAAAAATTTGATCGGAAGGACAAAATTAAGACACAAATTAAGAATTAAGGGATATTATTAAGATAAATGAAAAACTAGATGGACTTCCTTGAATTTTAACCCATAGATTTTATGCAAAGAAGAAAAAATGCGATAAAAAGACTTCAATGAGAATTATAACCCCGAATGGTGGTGTGCATTCAATTCCAACTTATCTATCCTCTGCAAAAGCCTCTCGTTCAATGGTGCGAACTAGATGCCTTTGGTTTTTCCACGATTTACGCAGCTAGAAAGCTAGATTATATGAAGACAAATTCTCCAAGGTGGATTTTTCAAGACTATCTTTAGCTTGTGAGTTGGATTTACTTTCAAGATCAATCTCACAAAAAAAAAAAACTCCATTTCATCGATTGATTAGGAGTATAATTTGCATGATTTATGAAAAGCTATTTTAACTTTAAATCATAATTCAATTTTTTTAAAAAACAATTTTTGACAAAAACAAAATCGATGACTTTAAGTTACAAATATTTTAGATAAACGATGACTCAAAACAACTTTTTCAATAAATAATACAATATAAATTAGAATCTATGAATTCAAAGTTAAAAAGTTTAACTTTTTATTAAATCAACTTTTTCAATAAAATAATATAGTATAAACTAGTTGGATATCCACACTAAATTGCGATCGGATAACCGTTATATACATAAAGTCAACGATTCATATGATATAGCACGGATAAAAATCTTATTTCTCGTAATTAATATAAATCATATCTATTTGATGAGCAAAATTATTTGATTTATATATATTTATTAATAAAATAATCAATAATATTAGTATAAAAAATTATATTTGAATAATTAAAAGGTTATTCTAAAGCATTATTTCAATTATTTTATTTAAAAAATTATTAATTTTAGAACATAAAAATAAATAAATAATAAACAATTGATGTTATGTATGCAAATACATTATTAATTTTCAATATGTATATTATGATTATATTTAGTATATTCAGAATATATAGTATAAGCAAAAAAATTTTAAAAAAAACCATCTAAGTCTGTATGAAATATATTAAAATCAATAAATTGAAATAAAAACTATTATAAAATTGGTTTTCATAAATTCTTAATTTATCGTGAAAGAGATTCTTGAATTGCAAATTAAATTATAAATTAGTTCATCTCATTTTGAGAAATGAATTAATTAATTCTTTTTGGTTTCAAAATAAATTATTTAATTTTTTAATCGGTATTGATCACTAATAATTTATTTTATTGTTTTATAAGATGTCGTTTTTCATATTTTACTTTTTTTTTTTCCTAAGATCATTTTTTTAAATCTTCCAATTTACCATTTTCTTAATTCTACATGGTGGTCCTAATAAAGTAAAAAGAAATGAGGTCTCTAGTTACCACTTTTATGAATCATTGAAATTTATTTGCACCTCTCTCTTTCTAATTCCTTATCTTAAAAACCATCTCTACCTCCCTATGCTGCATTTATTTTTATTTTCCTCCTTTCTTTTTTCACTCACGTTAATCTATATAATTACCTGAAAATGAACAAGGATCACTAAAATAACTCAACATAGGTTTTCATGGTCTCTTTATACAATACTAAGATACTTTTGATTTGATGAGATAATTTTCTTCAAAAAAATAAATATATTTTACTTGTTTTTTTGTTTTTTTCTATTTCTTAAAACAAAAAGTAAAAATGGTAAAAAGGACAAAAAAATTAGTTTTCAAACCAAATGACTAATTAATTTATTTCTTAAAGAAAAAAGGACCAAGAAGAAATAAATAAATGTATAAATAGGGACATTGGGTGAGTAGTTACATTAAGTGAATAGTCTCACCATCACTTCTTTTAATTTTTTTTATTAGAATCTATTGGGTTAAAAGTTAAAAATTGTAATTTTTTATTAAATCAAAATTTTGATACAGTTTCGCAACAAACTTTTGATTTAAATTAAAAGTTATTTCTAATTAAACAAACCTATAGATTTTTTTTGAATAAAACAATCAACTTAAATCGATTTGCAAAAATCATATCAGGCATAATCTAAATTAGTTTGATTTGGATGTGTCATAAACCAATGTTATGTAAACATTATTTTGTACTACTCAACCACTTCATACTTTTTTTCCCTTCTAATCTCTTATAGAATGTTTGAATTATTTTTAAATCAATAAATTTAAATATTTTTTGGAATAAAATATTTGATTTTAAAAGTATGAATAATTTAATAGATTTAATAATAATTTTAATAAATAATTTAATTAGTTTAAAGCACTTTGAAATAAAAATTAGGGACGTAAGATTGAATTATCTTTCAATATTTGAATAGAAAAATAATGACAAGACAAAATTAAACTATATAGGTTAGTGGCGATGTAGAAAGATGTATATTTTGAAAATTTGTGGCTCTTAACTATATCTGCAACCGTAGTTATGCTAATGTGAGGGCTTTCAAATGATTTTCGAAACAGTTTTTAGATCTTATTGATTTGTTGGAAAGTGGTTTTCTTATAAAAAAAAAAAAAAAAACACTTTCCTTCTGAAAAATAAATCAATTAAAAGTGTTTTTTAAATATAAGGAAAACATAAACTTTCGAGAGAGGAAAGTGTTTTCTTCTCTTAAATTTGAAAAACATCTTTCATTTTACATGTTTGTTGTATACTGCATGTTAACATTATTATTTATATTTGCATATTACTATTTTAAAATAATTTGAAGTTTATTGTTCATCATTTTTTATATACTAAAAATTATTTGTTTTTTTTTTTTCACTCTATACTACTTCTCACCCTCATTTTCATATATATATATATATATATATATATATATATATATATATATATATATATATATATATTTTGTTTTAAATATTTCACTTGAAACATTAGTTATAAAATAAATAATAATTAAGTTATATTTTATTAGATTAATAGAATATTTACAGTTAAATATTTTATTTGGGTCATGGAAAATACTTTCATTTTGTATGTTATGTGTTAAATTATATAATTGATTTTTGAGTATCTCTCCGAGATATAACGAAAGTACAGGAACCATCCAAAACTTTGAATATTTGACAAAACTTTTACTACATCCAGAATATCCTTGATAACTATTTAGAAAGAAAAAACAATGCTTAAATTATTTTTTCTTAGAAAAATAAAATAAAGAGAGAATATTGAGAAATAAACAAAAAAAATAATGAATTAATATTATTTATGTGCTTAAAAATAACAATATACCATTTTCTTATATTCTTTTTCTAATTTTTTTCTCAAGTTCTTAATTTAGGTGTCTTTTCTGAATAGCAATTAGGATTATTGTGGACATAAAAGGATGTTTTTGTAATATTGTTTAAAACATTAAGAGATTTTTGTCAAATCTTCAAAATTTTGGCTGGTACTTATAATTTTGTAATTCTTCAATGAGATTATCATAATCTACCCTCGATTTTCCAGTGCACATCACATGCATTAAAATATGTTTTTCAACTCACTTTTCATTATACGATCAAAATTAATAAACTCCTTCATTTCTTATCCAATGAATAAACGAGGCTTAAAAGAAAGTTGATAACTAAAAGATTCTATTATTTCAAAAATTTAAATAACTCAAAAATATTATTTTTTATCTCTCGTTTCATTACACGACTAAACATTGAAAATGATTTCCAACTCATTTTTCAGTATACAACCAAATATCGAAAAATAATTTATTTTTTAAAAAACCGGTTTTCATAGAATTCACTTTTCAAAAAGAATTCATTTTTTGAAAAAAAAACCGACAAACAAATGAAAATTTAAAATTTTACCAAACACCTTTTTTAATGTCTTTTTTTTTTTTTTTGTGTAAAAAGAAAAAAGGACCTAAAAGCTAAAAATAAAGCCGAAAAACCCCTTTCGCCAAACGCGCATGTGGTTGGGCCTCTCTCGGTTGGCTTCGGGCCTAGGATGCAGGTTTCTTATGGATTGTTTGCTCCTGCCCATTACATAGGCTACGGGGCGGGAGCCTTTTAGTCTGAATCCTTTTTTGATTAATTGCATCAAACTTCCTTCTATTTTTTGTTTCTTATTTTATTTTGTTTTATTTTTAATATAGTCCCTTTATTTTTGTATTCAATCTCTCCTCCTACTTTTTGTTCTTTTTTCCCTTAATGTAGTCCCTTTAATGGTTTTTTGCTTAATTTTCTGATAAAAAATTACACATGGTAAAAAAAAAATTAACTCACACACACATATATAACTTTCTCTTTCTTTCTGAATAATAGAACCCATCCAGTCTTTTTCATCTTCTTCTTTTTGCAATATTCTCTTAATGATGAAACCTACAAAACGCTCAATTTTTCAACCTTACTCACCTTTGTTATGCCTCATCGACCATCATCACTATATTCCCTGACTCTCTATTTTTGTTTCCACCCCTATCTCAGTCGTGCTCCTCGCCTTCAATAGATTCTCTCATCTCTCTTTTTTTTTTTTTGTATCTACCATCATCTTAACCTTTAGTCTCTCTCTCTCTCACTTTCATACCTTTTAAAATCATATCTCCCATTTACACATCCTTGCTCTACCTCACCCTCTATTGTAGCTACATCTCTTTCTTGTGAATTTTTAAGTTTAATGTGAATTTAAATTTATAAATTATTTTTTTCTTTCCTTTTCATCAAAATAAGATTTAATTTTTTAATTTTTTGTTTTTTGCATGTGGTAAAAAATATGATGTATCACGCCAAATGATTATTTTTTTCGTCAAATATTATTATTATTTTTTTTATCGAAAAACAGTTTGAGGGACTACTTTACCAAAAAAAATACAAGTAACACGTTAATGAAATTAAAAAAAAAAAAAGCAGAGAAGCGATTGATGTGATCTGACCACACCCCCCCCCCCCCCCCCCCCCCCGCGGTTCTAAACACCGTTTTTTCTAAAGGTATTGTACTTCGAAATAGCACGTGGAGTCGAAATTTCAAACCATCCGATATTGTTCATGTCAGACACCGCAACTCCGGCTCAAGTTCCGGGCACGGACCGGCCTGCACCCAATCAAGATGATCCCCTCCTTCAGAACGGCTCATTTATCGACCCCAACAACCACACCACCGCCGATGAAACCCTAACCAGACAGAACAACAAAGGCAATCAACAACCAGCGACGCCGGTTCGAGCGAAGAGAAGATCATCGGAGACGGCCATTGATATGAGTTGGTTGCCGCCAGGATGGGTTGTTGAAGATCGGGTTAGGACCTCTGGTGCGACAGCTGGCACCATAGATAAGGTCAGTTGCAGTTCGTTCTCAATTAATCAGAATATATTATCATCAAATTAGATTTTCGTTTTTCTGGTGAGATAAATGTATTAATGCTTGCTTCATCTGGATACGAAAAAAAAAAACAAAAGGAAAAAATCCGATACTCTCATCTGCTCAATGTTGATTGTATATCCTAAAACAAAGCTTATTACGGCATAATCATTGATTTATAGGAATATTTTTAGGTTCTTAGAGTTAGAGTTTTGTTGTAAAACTTTATTTTCAAACGCTGAACGGCTGGATATTTTTATTTTTTCTACATTCTATCTTGCAGTTAATATGAGAACATAAATTAGAAAAATGCTTGGGTATTGTAGTTTGAAGGGCTTTTGGAATGCTATTTGGGGGCATGGGGTGTTTGTCAAAACTTGATTTGGGTCAAATTGAAATGGGGTTTTCGGTGTTGGATACATAGCCACTTTGAACAGCTATATCCATATTTTTAAGGGATAATAAAGTAGCAGTCATGTCTGTTTGAGTACTGATATGTGTTCAGTGTTCGAAATGGGTAAAGGAAAAAGGTGGAGCAACACAGGTCATGACATGGCCTCATGGACTTCCCCTGTAGCCATCAAATACTATTAGTAGCTCCCTGTGTTTAGGCGCTGGGACGTTGACTAAGTCATATATATAGGATTTTTCATGCTTGAGCTCTATTTTTGCTCTATCCTTCTAAAATAAAATAAAAAGAATGTGCCAATGTAGTTGACGAGGGTTCCCGACCATTTAGGCAGGTAAAAAAACTACCAAGTGCAGTATCTATACAGCAGGTGAACGATATACATGATTTAAAATCCATGAAAAACTTTAGAACTTCTCTTAGTTAGCAAAGAAGTCTTATTCAGTGTGCGAATTGCCAAAAGTGCAGTGTTTAACTCAAACACTCTCTGAAGAATTGAAAATGTATCTTCTCCTTAGATTACTCTCTGAATTCACTCCTTTTATGAAACCCAAAATAGTGCTAAAAGTATACAAAGAGAAACAGAACTCCATTCACTGAGATTTGTCCAATTTTCTAACGATTGTTTATGATTAGAAATGTTCCCCAAGCTGCCTCCATTGGGGAAAAAAAAAGGGAATAACGCACTTATAGACATGAGATGGTAGAAGAAAGCAATCTGTTTCTGTTCTCATTTCTCAAGTTAAGGAATAGTTGAAAGAAGCTTCAGTATGTATGGCCAGACGTAAGAATCCAGAGTTACGCTACTCTTAAGGCAATGTAGTATTTTGAGAGTGATTCTATTTTGTTCTGGTCTTCACAATATCAGATCCTTCTATTTTTATTTACTTTTATTGAGTGGCTAGAATCGATGTTATGATTTCATCACATGACATGTAAATTTTGAAATAGCAGTTATGCTGTGATGTTAATCTGTGTTGGTGATTTCTTAGAGTAGATGTAGAAGTCTTATGGTAAAAGAGAGCAAAAATTTGTATCAAAATTACTATTTTGAGAAATTGACTATTCCTTTTGATAGTAACATTTCAAGCATCTAGTAAATGGTCTCTTTCTCGTGCAGTACTACATCGATCCTGCCTCAGGTCGTAAATTCAGGTCCAAGAAAGACGTGCAATATTATTTGGACACTGGAACTTTGAAGAAGAAGGGAAAAGTGACAGAAAACTCTGATGCCGATACTAATGTGAGTAAGAAGAACGGAACATTGGCCCTTCAATTTCTCTTATGACATTTTTTTTGCCTCTGAACTAACCTGTATAATTTCTGTAGTCTGCAGAAAATTCCAAGGGTAATAAAAACAAGTCTGGTGCAAACAAAAGTTTTGCTTGGAACTTTGATTCCATTAATGTTCCTGGTAGGACCGAATGGGTTCTTACAGATGCAAATGAAGATGCCTGGACTCCCTTCATTGATGGTAAAAAAGTACCTCTATACGATAAGGAACAATGGGATTTTGCATTTGCATCTCTGACGACAAGCAGTCATGGTTACAGAAAACATTGAAACTTGAAAGCATGTGGAATGCAGCATTCAGTATTATCAAGGGCACAGTTTTAAAGAGTCTTCATTTTCCTTTTTTTGGCCGGTTATTTTACATCTTTTAGGTTTATCAAATTCATCCGGTCTAATTCTAGTCACAGTAATTAAAATAGTGTTTTTTTTCAGGGTTAATATCCTCATCTGTCCTTATATAATAGGCTAGTTTTTCAATATTTCTTATGTTTTGAGTTGATTTCTAATCTATTTTTTTAGTTAAAATTTTCAACAAATTCATCAGAAATTAAGTATGTGATTTGCACATGATAGGTAATTTGACAAAATTGTTTTTGTTATATGATACAAGTGATCTATATCGACTAACATGAAGATTAATTTCTGATGAATTGGTCAGAAATTTGACCAAAAAGATAGATGAGAAACCAACTCAAAACATAAGAACATATTTATATAAGGACATGTAAGGATATTATCTTTTTTTTTTTTTTTATCCTCCTGATTTGGTCTAGCTTCATGTCACAACTCATGGCAATACATATAGCTTCTACGGTCTGGTTCTATGTGACAACAATTCAAATAGTTTTTATTTTATTTATTTATTTTTAATACAGATTGTGTTATTTCTTATATATTGACTTATGTTTGTGTTTTCCTTTTATTTCAGTGTATCTTTGAGGTGGCTCCTGAAACGCTCTTTATATTTTTCAGAGTCCTCAAAGCAGTTGCTTTTCAGTTGGAATTAGTTTTTTTATTCATGCGATATTTTGAATTGAATAAAATACATAAAATTATTTTTACAAAAATTATTTTATTTTGATATCTTGTATTATATTATGCGTTTATCAAAATATATCAAATCTAAATTGAATAAAAATTTATTTAATTTTATATTTTTAATCAAAATTTTATATTTGACTAAATTTTTTTAATATACTTTCATAATTTTTAATTAAAAAAATATTTTTTATTTATCTCTATTCATATTTTTAAAAAGATTTAAAAACTATAAAAAAAATTATTGCATAATGAAAACAATAGTGCATATGAATATGTGAGAATAATACATATGAATCTAGATGAATAATGTTTATAATTGTACAATAAATAGTAAATTAATCTTTTGGTTTAGTTTATTTTATAAGCTAATGTTTCATCTCCTCGGAATACGTTTTTACAAGAGTGTCCTTTTCTCTTTTAGGTTATTGGATGATTCAGCAAGTGCTGATATTTTTTCGTCATTGTATTTTGAATATGCGACAGCATTAATATAGTTATTAATGGAGTTGTAACGAGTGACAATCTCTTTCTGGAGTGGCGCCCTCCGTTTAGAAGAACTAGTGGTTTTTAGCGTTCTGCGCCTGGTCAATGGGCTAGTCTTCTAGAGATGTTTTGGACTTTGATTGAACCTGACGAGTTTTGAAGTTAGAGGCTTTAAGACCCTTCCCGTTGGGCCATGTTCGGAGAAGGCTTTCCATCAAAGGGTAACCCTTTGAGTTTATTTCACATGGGCCTTTGAAAATTAACAAAAACATACCTAATAAGTTCGAATCACGGATCGATCTTAGATAATTGACTTCTTTCAAAGAACAAATTTCGTTTGAAATTTCTATTACTTCGGGATCAGACAAAAGGTCCCATTCCTCAATTTCGAACATTTGTTATAGGTTACTTGTTCCACATCATTATAATTCTATATATTTATAGTTGTCTTCTTCGTTAATTATTTATTTTTCAAACCTTTTTTTAACGAAATTTTTAACCTCTTGAAGAGACGTAACTCTTATTATAGCCACACAAATTGTCCATAACAGAACGTCCTAGCTGAGGTAAAGAAAGTCCCACAATTTTCAACGTCTGTACTTGACAAAATCAAACCTGAAACACTCCCAGCTATATCGTCTGATTCCATGACTCTAATTCACCTCAAGAAGGTGATTTAGGATAACAAATTTCCCAGACCACACTGAAGGAACTAAATAGTTACAAAAACCTCATCTCTCAAAGCAAATCTAAGAAAAATCAGAGAGTTTTCGTTTGCTCATGTTTAAAAGTTGAGCATAATTAGGTTCACAGTCATTCAAAAAGGATCAGACACAATCTCATGTTCATTCATATCAGCTAGTCTACAAACACGATAAACAAATACCTTGTCCAACAGCTGGTACACCGTAACAAAACAAGTGAAGACAACTTCATAAAACATGGTCTGATAAAATATGAAGGTGTACAAGAGTTCTCATTCACTCGAACCTGCAGGACCCACAAGAACTCCTTGAGAAGAACCCTCCTTCTTGCTACCATCGTCCTTTACCTCATCAGACTTTCTTATCCTGATCTTGTACTTAGCTTCAAAATCGGCTATTTCCTTTTTCTTCTTTTCAGCAGCCTCATTAAGCCTCGCAATCACCTCCTCGATTCCCTCTTTATTGCGCTGAACAGCAGGCAGGACCTCCTTGACAGTTCTCTCCACCAGCACGCCTCCTATCATCCGGTAGCATCGTCGGGATTGGTCAAGCGGTTGGATAGCGTTGACAACCAATGAATGCTCACTCGCATCCATCTCAAGTTCAGTTATTTTGGAGTAAATTTGGTTTAGTTCAGACCGCATAGCAGTGTACATATTCGCAACTACTTGCTCATTTATTGGTTCCTTTCGATCACCTTCGGCCATATTTCTATGCAAAGGGAAAAACTATAGATACTGAAAAACAGAAACATTCACGTTAACAGTTTAGTGATCATCTGCAACTAAAACTAGTCTCAGACCCATTACGGGCATCTCAATATATACAGAAGGATTGCACATTAATTCAATGACACTACATCTGATTTTTTATTAATTTTTATTTTATTTTAAAAAAGAGAGATAATTACAGTTGTTAATCGTCAACAGTCCTCTAAACTTCAATCCCTGGATTTTCTTTCAAATGTCAAGCATAACCAACAATTTTACAACATATTTGCTTAAAATTGAAATGCAAACATCGTTTTGAGAGCTTTCATTGATGATTTCAAGTAAATATTGCAAAACAAACCAACGATATTACAAGGCTCAGCACGTAGAATCAACTATGAACATCTAGTATAATTTTTTATCAAACAAAAAATCACATGCTAATGCTTGAATCGTACAGAAAAAATAAAAGAAACAGAAAGGGATTTAAACCTTTTACCTAATATTATACTCTAATTTGGTGGAAGATGAAAGCAGATCACCCCTCTTACCTGAAACCAAATGATTTTGATGCTTTGAGAAAAAAAATTAGGGAAACGAAAATGAATTGAGAGAGAGAAAGGGAACAAACTTGAATTTGGCCGAACAATTGAAGCGAGAGCGAAAAAGGGAGAAAATAGATCAACGACTCTACTATTTTACTAGGTTGGGAGACATACAGTACCCACGATTCTAAACTGTGGACTCCCTCAAGATTTGAAATCACTGTTTTACCCCTTTCCTCATTATACCAAAAATATTCAGCTCTTGTTTTTTATTTGAAATTTTGAAGACGCAACATATGGGCCTATGGCATTAAGCCCTTCGAGAATTCTGCTTAAGCGTCACCGTTTCAAGTTTCAACCAAAACGGAAGGATAATGATTCTATTATAAAAATAAATAAATAAACTTCCATCATCTTCTTATATATATAGATATATGAAGTATAGATGTTCAATATCTTTTGTATTTATAAAGTTTCAGTACTTTACTTTATTCAATTATTGTAATTTTCTAGATTATAATGATATAATAGGAGATTATTAGGGTTATTGTCAATTATTGTAATTTTCTAGATTGTAATGATGCAATAGGAGATTATTAGTGTTATTGTCAATTATTGTAATTTTCTAGATTATAATGATATAATAGGAGATTATTAGTGTTTATTGTCAATTATTGTGATTTTCTAGATTGTAATGATGCAATAGGAGATGATTAGTGTTTATTATGCAATTGAAGACCCCTTAAACCTCATAAATGGAAAATAAAAACAACATGGATTGTATATATATATATATATATATTTTATGTGTATCTATGACTTAATTGGTATTAAACCTCATTTGACCTCCACTTTAATCAATGAGATTTTTTAAAAAAATGAATTTCTATTAAAAAAAAAATCCTCCTAAACAAATGAATAATGTGCGAATGTGTCTTTGCTTATGAGGTAATGAGAAATGGATTTTTTGAGAATAAATACTCTAATATTAAAAAAATATCTGATATTCCGTATGCTATTTACTTAAATCAAACTATACATAATAATTAATATAACATATTAAAGTTGATATGATTTTTATTACATATATATATATTTTTTAATTTATTCAAATTATATCAATTTTAATATCATTGTCAATTAATACACATGACATAATTTAAATAAATAGAATAGGGATCGTTGGTTATTTGTGAAGTACTTGAGTATTTTCGTCCTTGGGGCCTTATCAACAAAACACATTAAAATAGGACCAAAACAAGGGATTACCAAAGCAAAGGGATTAAATACGTCGATTAATTGACAGACGATCGATTTACCATTTACTGCAGAGTAGAAGAAACAATAAAGGAAAATGAGAGTAATATAAAAACATCAGACAAAACTTGCGACCCACTCCGCTCAATCAGACAGTATAAATAAAGGGAAGGCACTAGCGTCAAGCAGACTGATATAGAAGCAGCGGTTCTCGCTTTTTTCTCCATTTTCATCTCGTTTTCATCGCTAAACGCAAGCAACTGACTATGGCTAGAAAATTCTTCGTCGGTGGCAACTGGAAATGCGTATGCTCACTTTTATTTACACTATCACTACTAACTGTTACTGTTGCTCAATTTTTGATCGCCATAAATACTTATACTGTATTTCCGACATGGATTTTGGATTTTAATTGAGATTAATTTGCTTTTTCTTTTTGCGGGACTGCAGAATGGGACAACCGAGGAGGTGAAGAAGATTGTCACCATGTTAAATGATGCTGAGGTTCCATCTGAAGATGTTGTCGGTAAGCATTTTCATTTTAACTCAGATTTATAACTCTGCATCAGTTACCGATAGTTAGTGAAATCTGATTTTGTTTCGAAAGTAGATTTCTATTCAACTTGAATTCGGACTTGTGATTTTGTTTGAATCCCAGATCACTTGTTGCAAACTAAGCTATGATTTGGGATCATTGAATTTGATAAATTGATAATCCGTAAATTTTCTCATGATTTTCCTCATTTGTTTTGAAAAGGAAGTAAAGAGAAAATTTTGAATCTCTTAAAACAAAAAGGTCACAGTTTGATTTTATGCACTGAAGCCATGCATATCAGCAATTCCCCACGCATTGGCCTAAGCTGCCATTACTTAGCTTCATTTTATATGTCGAATTTAAACTCATATGGAATTCCTTTATTTACTTCATTCCCGTATCACTTTATATTGACAAGTTGTTTTTTTCTTTCCTGCCTCATCAGGAATAAAATTTTGTCTCTCTCTCTCTCTCTTTGTGGGCTGTGTGCTGTACTGTAATTTTGTTCACATTGTTCTAGTCTCTGATACTGAGGTGGGCATATTTCCTTTGATGTGCAGAGGTTGTTGTGAGCCCTCCATTTGTGTTTCTTCCTGTGGTAAAAAGTTTGTTGCGACCTGATTTCCAAGTAGCCGCCCAGAATTGCTGGGTTCGCAAAGTTGGTGCTTTTACTGGAGAGATTAGGTATGCCAATTCTTGTTTAATCTGTATTTGGGTCAAACCATAAGGGTGCAGGTTTCTAGTCTCAAGAATGGACATTCATGTAAAAATGCTAAAGATAAGGACTATCTCCAAGTCCCCCTTCTTACTGTCCCATTTCATTGGACTATGATTACCAATTGCTATAAGTTTGTGTCATCTGAACAATATTTTTATATATCTTTTTAGTTGGCAATGTCATGTCTGTGACAAATAGTTTGCTGTGTTTGGATGGGAAAGATGAATCCCGATTTGGTTGACATGTGATGGTTATAAGATATGGTATAACAAGGTTGTAGGGTCAAGTTAACTTTTTAAGATGATCTTTAGCTAGATAAGGATGGGTTTTATTTCGTGTTTTGAATATTTTTTACTGAGAACTACTTTTTTAAGTACTAACAATATAATTTGATCCTTTTACTTTCCTTCTTGGTGTCTAACTATTGGGAAGTTTGTGTATCTCTTATGGACAGTGCTGAGATGCTCCTGAATTTAGGCATTCCCTGGGTGATTCTTGGACATTCTGAACGGAGATCTCTTTTAAACGAGTCAAATGAAGTAAACTATGAGATATTGATGTGCATATTTTATACGCCAGACATATGTTGCTTAGCCTGTACAACTATACCTTCTGTTAAGCTTTTTCTATATTGGTGCTTATCTGTAGATTGCTGTATTTCTAACCATATTCCATATGCCTGTCTCTGTAGTTTGTTGGAGATAAAGTTGCTTATGCACTTTCTTTGGGCTTGAAAGTGATCGCATGTATTGGTGAGACACTTCAGCAGAGAGAATCAGGATCTACAATGGCTGTTGTGGCTGCACAAACAAAAGCAATTGCAGGTAATTCCCTATAGTTGAGGCAATAGTTTGTCATTTAAAATTTTTGTTAATTTTGGTTCTGGATCGATTCAAGAAAGCTTACTTACATTAATAGAAAACTTGGTCCTCAGCAAAGGGAAAACGATAACTCTTTCCCCAAAATACCTTCCATTTACTCATGGATTTAAATAGTTATACATTCGTTCTTTGTTTTTATTGTCATGTTCTCCTGCAGATAAAGTTACAAATTGGGCCAATGTTGTTTTGGCTTATGAGCCGGTTTGGGCCATTGGTACAGGAAAGGTTGCAACACCTGCTCAGGCCCAAGATGTAAGTTTTAAATTAATTCAGTTGTTGCCGATATTTTATAACTAGGACATTACACTTGCAAGTTCGTTCTTGAGCTCTTGTATTTAAACTCTACAGTGTCATTGACAATTTTATAAGTGAGAATGTTCAATCAACAAGAACTGTTATTTATGTTAACTCTTTTGTGAGATCAACATTGTGATAGATGAAAGCTGATAAATCTATATCGAGCAACTTAACTAATTAGGCTGGGTGACATACCCAAACTTTTGTAAGTCTAACACTGCTCTTTGCATACAAAAAAATTGTACTTGTTCCTTAAATTATTAACCAACACAACACCCACCCCCCCCCCCCCAAAATCCCAACAGAAACCGTCAATGTTAACTATTTGTCTTCTTGTTTACAATGTTTATTGGATATGCCAGGTCCATCGTCAATTGAGGAAATGGGTTCATGACAATGTTGGTGCTGAAGTTGCTGATTCAACTAGAATTATCTATGGAGGTAAATTTGTATATTTTTCACTCTATGTGAACTCTTGCTGTTTTTAGATGTGTTGTTGGATACTAACTAGAAAGCTTCCCGTGCGTTGCTGCGGTTACTTGACCAAAGTTTTTTTTCTAAATAACTATTGCTCAAACTATGTATTTAAAAAAAAATTGAGGTAAAATTCACACAAGACATCGTCAATAGAAAAATATAATACTTGTCATAATAGCAGCCTTACATATAATAAAAATCTTTATTGAATGTCTATTGACACTTGAAATTAGTAGGCTTTGGTTTGGGATTTTCAACGCCTAATTTTGTATGAGGTTGGTCCTGGCCATTTTCATGTTTATTATGGCAAGTATTTAGTTAAGTTTTGTATTTGAAAAATTAGAACCCTGAACTACTTCGAGCTGGAAACTGAAGTAGCTGCACTCTACGGCTTTCGGTCATCTATAAAGAGGGATCATCTTTTTACTCCTTATTTAGATTGGTAAACTTGAAACTATTAAATTCTTGATAAACTGACTCATGCATCATTTGTACATGTTTGTAGGTTCTGTTAATGGATCAAACTGCAAAGAGTTGGCAGAACAACCAGATGTTGATGGATTTTTGGTTGGGGGAGCTTCTCTCAAGGTGATTTGCTTGTTTGCTTTCTTATTTTAAAACTTTGTTGTCTGGCTCTTTACCCATCTTTTTTTAATTTGCCAGCCGGAGTTCATTGATATCATCAAATCTGCAACAGTGAAGAAGATTAATTGCTAGAACTGTCCTACTAGGTTTTTCTCCTTCAATGTGCTTAATGAAACTAGCAGTTCTGTGCTCTGACCACTCTGGAACAGAGTCTACCTTTGCCATCACTGTTCCAAAACATAATAAATCAAGTCAGTTATCAGATCTTTGTCAGTACTCCTTTGGATTTGTTATGTGGTTTCCAAGCTTGTTTTCCTTGGATTTTTTGGCTATGGTTTTGAGATACTAAATGCAGTTTTTTATTCTGTAGTTAATCTTTTTCCTGTACCCATGTCTGCACAATTAGCATGTTGACATACTTGGGAGTAGCTCTTTCTTGCTACAGCATACTGATTTTTGTGGCATTGGTTATTTGCATCTTAAGTGTTTTTGTGTGTGTGTGTGTGTGTCTCTCTCTCTCTCTCTCTCTATATATATATATATATTGGTAGGATTTTAATGGCAGAAATGTGCTTTGTATTATACATTGACCTGTTTATCCTGTAGCTGAGATCATCAATCCAGTTTTTGTTGTATCAGTCCAACGTTAGAACTCGAGATGTTAGCGATTTTTAGAAGAGCTTGTTGAGCAAATGTGTATGTCTTCCAACCTCATTCCGGTTCCCCGAGGCCAACTGAACTGCCAAGATGATCAATTCTTCGAAACCGAAAGGAAATAATATAAAACTGCTATGTTGTAGTGGAGTCGGTAGTTGTTTATGTACGGAATTCATATTTAATGGCCGTCATTCTCGTTTCGAAACCCAGTCCACAGAACTGCCACTCTTTTGACTAACGCCTCGCTCATTCTGTGGATAAAACAATCAACACCTACACAGCAATTGACTCGTATATTTTGGTAGTTCATGTATAGATTCTCTTTGTTATACCACCTGTTCCTAAAGGGGCCATGTATATTAGTAGTTGTTTATGGAGAAAGATTTATTTAAGCAATTAATAAGTGACACCACATTCCAATGAAAAACTTGCAAATAAAAAAGCTCAATTTTTATTTTTATTTTCCAAAAAAGGGTGGTTCAAAAGAATTTGGATTTTAGAATAGTGTTATTATTCAAATCATTAAATTCCACATATCTTCTTAGGGTTTGAATTTGGGCCTTTCAAATACAAATCTTCAATCTTAGTTATTAGCATATCTCATAGGAGCTAAAAAGCTCCATCTTTTGAAGTTTTTTCGATCTTCAAATATCTATATTAAGTACGAATACTTTAATTCGACACTTTTGATACTTATAAATGTATTCAAAATTCATGAAAAAATAATTTGGATGTTTAGAGACGCTTTGGAAATACTTTCATAAATATATTGGATACCTCGTGGATATTTATTGGTACAATTTCAATTGTTCTCTCAATGTTAAAAAGATTCATTAATATTTTAAGTATTTTAATTTTACAATTTCCAATTAAGTTACTATGTGATATAATAGATGGAGAAAAATAATGAATATTATTGAAGAAAATAAAAATGTAATTTTAAATTTCCTTTTGTGGGTGTTATTAAAAATAATTTGTAGTTTGGCATTGTATTTTGGTATATGATTTTTTAAATTCCAATTGTGCCCTGGCCCAGCTTTTTTTGTGATTTATTATTATTATTTATTATTTTCTCAAAATATTTTTTTTCTCAATAGATTATTAATTACATGTTTTTTATTAATTAAAATCATATATATTCATAGAATATGATTAAATTCAATTAAAAAATATAAATATTTTATTAAACAATACCTAATATATATTAAATTAAATAAATTCTTACAATTAATTTTAATTTATTTTTATTTTACACCTAATTTTTTAATTATTTAAAATATTAAATATATTATATACATTTTTCTGCAGCAACGCTAGAGCATATATATATATATATATATATACACGCGATAGATTTTTATTCTATAATAATTCCAGAAGGGTGACTTAAGACACAAATAGTAAGCCAGCTTAGGAGCCAAGCGAAGCTGAGGCAGGCTGTCACCTCTCGTCATATGCTTTTCTCGTTTCCCCACAAATTTGGCTTACGTGCATATGGGGACGCTTGTCCAAATGGGTCCCATTGCAAGACTTTTCAGCTGAAAAGTCAAATAAATCAGATAATCACAGCTAAGCTAAGCTAAGTTAGTATATCTTAATTACTTTAGTAACATGTTTTAAAAGTAGTAGTTCTACTTATAAAATTACTTTTCATGGGAAGCTTCTACAAGTTGGACGACGCATACCATGGTTAAGGACCTAAGGGCACGTCATTGACCGTATAATAATTGAGGTATGCAACGTAAGCCATACCTCAACTCGTACGTCACTGTTAGTGTTTGGAAAAGTGAAGTTTTGGATTACACGACGCAAAAAGTGCTTCCTTTAGCCTATGTCACGTCTCACTACCTTTGTTTGGTTCTACATTTACTAACGGAATCACTCTAAAAGTTCTGCAATCTCGTATTTCTTTTGTGATATTTAGTTTTGACGTATGAAAATTGATTTGTCAAAAAAAAAAAAAACTTTATTGGTATACAGTCATTGATAACAATTGTTGAATATTATATGTCTAATTCAATAAAAAATATATATAATATAGGTAATAATTTTCACATATATGCAGTGAAATCGTCAAATCTAATTTATTTGAAGGCAAAATCTTTCTACCAATTATCATTCTTTCAAAAATTGGAAACTTCTAAGAAAGAGGATCATAATCAGTTCAAAAGTTGGAAATTTCTAAGAAAGTGGATCATAATCATAACCTTGGAAGTATGTACCATAAAGTACTTTGCGTGGTTCTTGCGCGCACAGTACAAAATGTGCGAGATAGAACTTTCATACATAAGTTTATAAATTGCATTGCATATATATATATATATATATATATATATATATAGAGAGAGAGAGAGAGAGAGAGAGAGAGAGTAGAAAAATAGGAAGGATTACTACAGGACCATTCTTTGTTTGACCTTTTTTTGCTTTAGGTTTCGTACAATCATATGCCACCCACCTTCCTGTGATTTTGAAAGAACGACGGAATTGCGACTGTCAACTTCAGTTAGATAGAAGCTAAATGATCATGTCACGCATAAATCAATTAACGCGACGAGGAGCTCCCGTACGGGGAGGACTACTGTTTCTTAATACTCTAATACATAGCATGTATTTCAATTACAATATACCAAATAACAACAACAACATTTATCCTACATAACATGGCAATATTGTGCATGTTGGTCGGATTTGAGATCCATATATTTATACAGATGTATACTTGACATCGACTTTGATGTTAAATTCAGTTATTTTTATTTTTTCATATGTATAGAATGTCTAAATATCTAAATTCATACAAGAGCATAGAACGTCAGTTAAAAGGTATTTAGAAAAGCAAGAAAGAAAAAAAATGAGGAGTAGAAGCGGCATATCAATTTGCTATATGTATGGTCCATGCAAAACTGTGTACGAGTCACATGGCGATCGTAAAATAAAGAAGCAAGGAAACCAACTTGTCTTGTGGACCCTTGTTTTGGTGCACAGGTTGCATTTCAGCCATATCGTTGAGGTGTGTTGTCTTGCATGCGACTAAGGAACCATCCTCGTGTGTGCATTCATGATCCAAACCTATAATTTATTTTTATTTATCTTTTTTTCCATAAAGCCAAAACCTATAAAATTTATGGATACCGTTTTTAATTTATTGGAATATGTACGCATATATTTTATTAAGATTATAAAATATGATTTAACATTACGCATAACACAAAGCAAAATGATTGCTATTGGTTAAAATTGCCAAACTTGGCAACAAAATTTTCAAGTTTTGAACTTTAAAAGAAAGAAAAAAAACTCCACTTTATAACATAATTTGTTTGCTCTCTATGAAATTAATTTCAAACAAAACCAACTAAGGATTAATTTAACATTTACTTTTGAAGATCATATTTTAATATTTTTTTTAATAGAACCATCATCTCTTTTAAGTAAATAAGGCATCATGGCAGTTGTGACGGGTCAAAATCAATGGTAACGGTGGGTGTGGGTGCAGAGTCACTATGTAAAGCCGAATATAGTTGACTAAGAGCTTTATTATTTATGTTTTCACAATGGCCGATATCGTTTTCGTTTTATTGTAATTTAGCAATTTCAGTTTTTATCATCGATATGTATAATTTGAATACTAAAATATATATTTTTGGATAAATTTTATCTAAATTTATTAGTTATAATATTCAACCTAGTTGATTATTAATTTTTTTCCTCGCTAATAATTTTTTTAAAATGTTAAATATATATATATATATTATTTTTCAAGAGAGATTCTTTCTATTTAAATTTTTTACATATTAATCATTTTGATTTGTCATAGCCAATCAACTTGTTATTTGCATATAATTTTTTTTTAATTTTTTAAAATAACTTTTATGTAATATCATGATCCATTGAATAACCAATTTCTATAATTAATAAAATACAAATATGTATTGGTTGAATCTGATCAATTGAAATTGTCAAATATTAATTTTAATTGAAACTTTCTTTTGTCATGCCAATAAATTTATTATTGTGATTGTCAATAATTAAATTTTAAATGTAAATATATTTATTGATTTTTTTTATCTTCACATTTTTTATAGGATTTTTTCTCACAATTGATTCAAATATATAATATGCATTTAAAATTTTTAGAGTTAAAAAACCATTTTTTAAAAAATTTTTATTTTATTTTATTTTTAGTTTTTTTAAAGATAAGTTCAAAAGTAACTATATTTATTGAATATTTTTTTATCTTCACATTTTTTATAGGATTTTTTCTCACAGTTGATTCAAATATATAATATGCATTTAAAATTTTTAGAGTAAAAAAACCATTTTTTAAAGACTTTTATAATTTTATTTTATTTTTAGTTTTTTAAAGATAGGTTTAAAAAGTAAAAGCTCTTTTTCGGGGAGAACAAAAAAAAAACTTAATAATAAATTTAATGATTATTTATTTATTTATATGTAAACGAGTGGAAAAAAATCTCTAT